TAGCTCTAAGAGACGCTCTTAACTAAAGGCTATCTAGCCTAGCAATTGCAAGTAGGTTACTGTAATCTAGAAGATTAGCGCTGCTAGCTAGGCAATTCTGCTATTTATTATCTTTACTAGCAAGCACTACCTATCTGCCTAGTATAAAGGCAATAATATACTAGGTAATTAGGCAATTAGTCTAAGCAACAATAGCTAAACTATAAATAAGCTTACTCTTAAGTAGCTAAAGCACTTTATTAAGCATATAAAAAATTAAAAAGTAGAGGAGTATTAGCTTCTAATTCTTAATAGCTATAAAAGCTACTACTTAGCTAAATTTAATCAGCTCTGCAAAGAGAGCAATATTATTGCTCTTTGTATGCCTTCGCATTTATTACACCTTCTCTAGCTACTTAATATAGGCTGCTTCTTGCCGTTAAAGCGTGCGTACAGTAATTAGATTAGTTACTTAATATGTAATAGCATTAACTATATTATAAAGCTTAAGTTTCTACCTGCCTTCTACGCTGCGTATAAGAAGGCAATTATAAAAGAGAATATCTACTTTAGCTTTTAAGGCGCTAGCTTAGTCCTACATAACTTACAAGCAGTAATAGGCAAGCTTAATATTAAGCTTTACATGCTAACGCTGCCTACTCTAAAGGCTGCTCTTTAGAAAGCTAAAACACTAAGCAACGCGCGTAAGATAAAGGCTTAATTAACTCTTATTTATAATTAAATTTAAAGGCATAGAAGTTTATTACCTACTTCTATAATTGCTGTGCTTAATTTGCTTTAAAAGGGCGCTAAAAAGATAGCCTATAGAGCTGCGCTAATAAGCAATTAAATTGCTAGCCTTAAGTAAGCTAACTACGTAGCAACAACACGTAGAGCGCGCAAAAAAAAGCGTATTTAAAAGCAAGGGACGCTTACAAAAGAAGAAAAAAAGAAGATTATTGCTTAAAAGAAAGTTAAGTAGCAAATTAAAAAGAAAACGCGTTAAGAGAAAGCTTAAATAAGTGTTAGCTGTTAGGCTTTAGCGCGCTGTATAAAGTGCAGGGAAACTAGCTATAACTTATAAACTTATTAAAAGCAAGCTACAGATACTAGCTAACTTTATATATTTACTATATTATACTTAGTTACTGCATTGTTAAGATATACTACTAAGAAGGCGTAGAAGGCTAGTTAGGGTGGCTACTTGCTTTAGGGGGCCGCTTGCTTAGTACTTACGTTACTTTATTAATAAAAAAACTATTATTTAAGCATTTAAGCTTACTTTTAAATAAGCTATAATAGTAAAAAATATTAAAGCAAGCTTTAAAAGCGCTAAGCTAGTTTTATATTACTTAAAAACTATTATATTAAAGCTTAATGTAAATTAATAAACTCTAGCACTATTATTACTAAAGTAAAGTATATAAAAAGTATAAACACTATATAATACTTATAAAATTAAAGTATAAGCTACGCTTATTTAAAAAAAGATTTAAAATTATTTTAAGTTTTTTACAAGCTTATTAAATAAAAAAATTTACTAGCTAAGTAAAAGCGTGCAGCAAATTATATATAATATAGTATTATTATAAAAAGACTAAGCGCGTATATAAAGTGTAATTAATAAGCTTATAAAGCGCTAGTTAAAAAAGTAAAAGTATATTTAAATAAAGAAAACTTTATTTATAAAAAAAGTATAAAACTTAATTACTAAAAGAAAAAGTAAAAAGTATAATACTAGTAAAGAGCTTATGCTTAAAGTATATAGCATAAAGCACTATAAGTATTATAATAAAAAAATATAACTTTTATACTTATTAAGTAAAAATAGTAGATTTTAAAAATAGTAATAAGTTTAAAGAATAAATTAGTTTACTATAATTTTTAATTAATAGTATAACGCGTTTATAAAAGTTAAGTATAAGTAGTGCGCTAGTTTAGTGTAAGCTACTTACTTAAGTAAGCTACTTACTTATAAAACACGTTAAGTATAAAATTAGTTTAAATATAATAATATAGTTTAAAATAATATAAATTTAACTAAAGTGTAATATCTACGTTTAAAAATAAATAAATTTATACTGTTTAGTATTTTTTTATATTATTTTTTATATAGTTTTATAACATATTTACTTTATAGCTAATTTTTATATATTTACTACTATATATGCTTAAAATAGCTTAACTAAAACTAGCTTATTTTAGTTATGCTTTTTTGCAATATTATAGCTTATTTTATACTATATACTTATAACTATATTTATTTTATAATATTTTAAGAGCTAAGTTTAAAAAGTTATTTAAACTTAAAATTTTTATTTTAAAAAATAGTTTAAAGATATAGCTTTAAGGGCTTATAGGCTTAAAAATAATATAAAGTTTATTTTTTTTATAAAATAAGTTTAAATATATTATATATAATACTTTTATAAAGTATAAAAATAGATAAATAAAATTAAAACTTAGTTTTAATTTTTTTTATATATAGATTTAAAGTAATCTTATACACAGTAATAAATAATAATAATAAATAAACTAAGATAATAAATTAGTTTTAATAAAAGCTTTGTTTATAGTATATAACTATATAAATATTTATAAAAGTAAGTAAACTAATATTTATTTATATATAGTTCTTATATTAACTATTACTTTAAAAAGCTTTTACCTTAACATAAAATAAATTTTTTTTTTAATTTTATAAAAAAAAAAATAGCGCTATAAAGCTATTAAAAAAAAGTTTAACGTAATTTCTAGGCAAGTAGACACCCTAACTAAGTAGACACTTTTTGCTAAGACTATACTAAAACTACAACTTTAATAAAAAATTACAACACTAGCTTGTATTATAGTTTTTAAAAAACTTTTCTAGAGACTCCTCTAGTTTCTATGCACTCTTTTAATATGTTTGCAAGTTGTACCTAGTCTTACTGTAGGTTTTATAGTGCTTTTAAAAAAGACTAGCCTCTTTTATACGCACCTTCTTTAACGCCTTCTTTCTATTACTACGTACTCTAAACTTTCTTAAAGCTACTAAGCGTTAACCCTCTTTAACTATAAGTGTTTCTTCTATCTATATCTGCTTTCTTTTATGTAATTTACGTTGCGTAGCAGCTTTATTTACAGCTTAAAGCTTAGTAATTTTCTTTTATGCTAGCGCTAGCTTATGCGCTACAATAGCTGCACCTTTAGCAAGCTTTTTAAAGGCCTTAACTATTAAAGTTAGTAAACTATCTAGATGCCTCTAAATTCTTGTCTTTACTAGCGTTAACTAAGACCTAATTTTAAGAGTATTACTTAGAGTTTTAGACTCCTAAAGCTCTTTGTTTAGAAAGAGTAGTGTTAGCGTCCTTAGCTTTATATTAAGCTTTAATATTATAGCTTCTAGGCTAAATAGGACTAGCCTAGCACCTCTAAAGCCTTCTTAAATGTTGCTTTTAGTAATCGCGTTAAAAAAAGCTGCTTTAAAACACAGCAAGAACTTAAGTTTAGTAATATAAGTAATTTAGTTGCGCATTAGGTTCTTAGCTTAGCACTTATATGCCCTCTTTAACAGCGCAAAACAACTTACATTAAGTAGCTAGAGAAGGTGCGACAAGTGTAAGAGCATATATAAAAGAATAATCTTTTTCTTCTTACAGCATTTATAGAATTTAACTAACTTATAGCTTCTGTAGCTGTCTAGAATAAGCAGTTAATAGGTGCTAACTACCTTTCCTTTTATATGCTTGTTAAAGTGCTCTAGCTACTCTACTCTAAGCTTGTTTATTGTTTAGCTGTTTTTAGAGACAGCAATAGCCTAGTTGTTAAGTAGGCCTTCTTCCTTATACTAGGCAGAGAGGTGGTTCTTGCTAGCAAAAATAAGGAAGGGTAGAATTGCCTACTCTATTGCGTTAATTTCCTAGGTTACTATAACCTACTCTTAGTTGCCCTGTTGTAGTTATTTAGCTTGCGCTTTACATTCTAAACTAGTAACAACAAGGGCAGTTAATATCTTGCTTATTACAAAGCTAGATTTATTAAAGTTATACATGTCTTTATTAAGAATGCTATACTTAGCTTTAGTATTCTCTACTAGGCAGAACTAGTTCTAAATAACTTTAGAATTCTCGCAGAGAGCTCTCTTATAGTTGTATGCTTAAAAGTATTTTGTCTAAAGCTCTTCTTAGCAGTTAATAAAGGTGCTAGCCTAGTTCTTGCTAATAAGTAGCTAGTTGCGCTCTGCAAGCAAACAATTAGCTACAGCTTTTATATTAGTAACTTAAGGCAGAAATCCTTGTGCATCTAGCTTAAGAATGTAATTAACAATTACTTCCTCTTTTGTTAAAGAAATCCTTATTAAATTAGGTGTAGTATCGCGTTAAGAAGAAGTACTAGCGCGTTATTATTAGAGTGTACTTCTAGACACTTTATATATGTCTGCAGCGCGTTTTAAGGAGAGTTTTACATTTTAATTAAAAGCTTAAAGAGCAAGTTGTATATTAGCTTTGTCTAAGTGTTTTTTAGAGGTTTAGTGTTAAGGCATCACGTAGGTAGTGTTATTTTAGTGTAGTCTTGGCAAAAAGTGTCCACTTGGTTGGGGTGTCCACTCGCCCGGGAATTACGTTATAAGCTTTTAAATATAGTAAGTAGAGCTTTTTAATAATTTTATTAAGATGCTACACTAAAGCGGTAGATAAAGAGCAGTAGATAAAGAGCAGTAGATAAAGAGCAGTAGATAAAGAGCAGTAGATAAAGAGCAATAAATCCTGGTTGACTACAACAGATTATTCAACATGAATGGATCGTAAGATCTCGCTCGTACAGCGGGAAAATAAGTGCAGCATGACAGTTCCCGCCATATCACAGTAGCTGAATGCACAGACGCATAGGAGGACCTAGAGTGAATCCTGATTTCATTTCGTACATGGGGGCCTAGCTATCAAATGAACCATCATGGTGAGCTCGAAGAGTATCCGGATACAAGATATCTCACAAAACTAACGCCATCGAATCCTCCCATAGCCTCCCCGCATCTATTCACGGGTCATAATTTTCCAGGATCCCAACAAAGACATATCATACATATCCACCACATGATGGAGACCCGGCATATGCCTCGATTGGTTATCTAGCACGCCTTCCCCGCCTGGGAAGGGTGGGGATGAGATTGGCGTAGAGCTCCATCTGGTCAGCGTGGAGATATTTGCAATAGGTGCGGTTGCACCTACGCCAACAGTTCTGCCGGTACTAAGGCGGTCGGATAGGTTGACTACATTTAATCAGTCAGTTTTCCAGAAGATCGTGATAGATGAGTGCTTACCGATCAGTACGACGAGCAGTAGCAGAGTCGGCAGTAGGAGTGGGTGCCGGAGCGGAGTTATGAGCATTAGCGAAGAACACATAAGTGTTGTTGTTGTTCGTGACGTCTCCCATATGTCCAGCTGTATTGCTCAGGTTTGTAGCGTTCTGATTCATGTTCAAGCCGGAGTTGCCGATGCGCACATCTGCCAATTTGGCCTCCAGGTCTGTGATCTTGTCCTTGAACTCGTCGACCTTGCTCTTGAGCTCTCGGTTTTCTTTGGCGAGCATCTTCTCGCGCTCGGTTGAGCTGGCAAAGACAACCGCTTTCTCCAGGAACGTCGTTTAATCCTCGCCGGTATTGAGATGGGCCACCAGGATCTCAAGGGACAAAACCTGGGCGAGCGGCTCGCGCCGAGAGTCCGCAGCCTCCTCCAGTTGGTTCTGGAGCTGTCCTACATGGATCACGAGCTGGTTGTTATTGAGTTGCAACTCTGTCCGCTTGCTCTCAAGCTTAGTTTGGGACGCTTTGAGTTCACGGTTTTCGTCGGCAAGCTCGTCGTAGGAAAGAGGCTGCTCGGGGGAGGACATTTCTGCGAGTGATCTGGTTCTGATATATCTCAGGGATGTAAGCTGGGTGGGGTCAGATACGCGTACGTATTACTTACGCAGATCGCTGCGGCGTATGGGCCTGGAAGAGGGGTATGCGGGCGGAGGAGCCTAAAAAGAGCCTGTAAGGCGCACGAGAAGATTATTTGAAGCGGGGTAGTCGGCAGTGTAGACGTCCACTTGGTATGACCCAATTTGCCCCGTTTGGCACAATCAAAAGGGCTCTGGCAAGGAGGCGATGGCGTTGGCTTGGTCAGTAGCAGATTTGACGCAGCAAAAGCCCTCGCCAGTGGAGAACATTGAAAGACGGAGTAGTAAGAACGTGCAGTAATTCGTGCAAACCGTGTACAGCGTTATGTGCGTTTGTAAGGTCAAAGTCTTGGCAGATCACGTGCACTGATCTGCCATTCACATTCACCTACATATGTATGCTCCGCCTCATCTCGCTAAATGACACCTGCCAAGAGACTAGTGAACGACCTCTCTATAAAGTCTCCCCCCCCCTCGACTCTACACCCCTCCACTCTCTCTACCACCGACCTCCCTTCCGTCAGCCACCAACCTCCGTTCCCTTATTTGCTGGCACTGCATGCATCCACCTCGCGTGGTAGTCATGTAACCAGAGACAACCTGTTCAATTATCTTCCGTGATAATTGCATGGCTTTTCCTCTAGCCAGTCTCTGCATCTCCAGTCCTTGCATGCATCCACCTGTAGCGTGGTAGATATGTACATTGATGGATGTTCCACTGCCGTCCGTGGTAGTTCCATTACACATTCCTGCACTCTCGCACACCTCTTTTGTACAATGTTTGCATCCACCATCGCGTGGTTAACGTTGTATAGTCCCTGTGAGAATGTAAGTAGATGGATATTGTCACTGCCCTTGTGGTAGCTGATATGAGTCGAAGACATATGCCTGCTTCTGTCTCGTTAGCCTACTGGGCTTTTGGATATCTTTTTGGTGCCCGATAAAAATAATTTTTTCCACCCCTCCGATAATTATTTCGGACTTTTTATTTTTCATTGAGTCTATGATCACTGTGGCGTGGCCTATACTCGAGGAAGGATACTCTCATTTGTTATACTGGCGCTGATGAGCTTCGAGTTCTCTTATCGACTGTATACACGTGACACACTACATTGACTGCCTTCAAATGTTTGTTTGTTTAGTCATCAGAAAGTTTGCACCCAGTCTGGTGCCTATTGATTGTTTGCTCTCGCTCGCCGTTACAGGTCGTTAACACCGAAGTCTACTTCACCGCCGGTCACACCAGTCGCATACAGTAATCCCAATCGGCGATACCCCCACAAAACTTCTTGACTAACTCCTCCCCGCGCGACGACCACGTCCAGAGCTCAGTCACCCAACATCCAAGAAACTGACCCCCAGCAGGCACTCAACGCGATCATGGAACAAGCAGATCACTTTGCCGTGGCAGAGGAGACGACGACTCTCAAAAGCAGACTGCTGCAGCTCCTGGCGGAGTCTGAAAACATCACCGATCCTCAACAGAAGCTCACAATGTACAGGGCACAAGTGAATGCTTTGGAAGCCGTTCGCGACAGTATGAATGCCGGTCCCGTGAGCACCACCCAAGACAACAACAACCACAACAACCATGGCAAAGCCGCCAACGACGAAGCGCGGGTCAACTTTCGCACGAGCGATCACCCGGAGCGCGAGCCTGCTACCACTACCCCCGACCGCAGCCAATCTGTGCAACGATCCCCTACACCGACTTTATATGGCGGCTATGAATATCACCACCAGTAAATTGCTTATGTCGTACGCTCATGAATATATGCTGACATGTGACATGTGTATAGTATCTTGCTCCGCCCGCCTCAGTATAGCCAAGAATGCGAGTTTTGGGACTGCGACCGCAGCATCTGCGAGTGTACCCATCAAGATCAAATGGAACTATACCCTATTCTGATCTCTTCACTACCAGAACGTCCCGCTGACGGCACCCGTCGAGGAGGAGAAGGGCGTTGGCCGAGAACGCGTCGATAGCTTGCGCATACCTTGCGGTTCGCTTTGAGGTATTCTAACGCGACTTGGGTTGATGGATTTTTCCGCATTCGCGTCTGTCTGCATATCTCTTGCGGTGATTGGGTGTTGCCAATGCTCGCGAGCAATTACTACTTCTCGAGGACAACCCGGCCAAGCTGCTTTCTTCTTTGTGTGGGTATTCAATTAGTCAAGACTGGAATGGGGACTGGAACAGCATTAGAAGGCAGAATCTGGGTGCTTTGACGTCCTATCGCGGCAATGCTGCTACCTCTTGTGCCTGAGTCGGGACAAAGCATTGGCATGCCAAACTGTTTATATCAGCTTCTATCACTTTGTGTTATTAGATCGTATGAGTAATGTCATTTTCTGATTACTGATTCTATTACCTATCTGAACGTGAGATGATTACCAAGGTAAGTCTAAAACACTGTCATCGATAGTGAGAGACTCAAAACGCTTACCGTATGTGGAAGTGAACGAGATAGGATTGACTTGTACTCTCTTATAATATATCTTACACGCCCTTTTGCAGCAAGTGTAAGCCAGCACATACTGCAGCTTGTTTAATAATCGTGTAAGGCTTTCCAATTATGGCAATGTACGCGTGCATTGTTCAGCCTCGTATTCATTTTCCTCTGATTGGTTCCACAACCATCCACGTAACAACCTTCACCCCGACACTTTCCCACTACATCGGCCTTCTGCCTTATCATTCTTGTTAAACTCTCCGGTACGTCTTTTTTTTTCTCGAAGAGTACTGAGCCAACCACCGAAAATGATGGAATTAAATGCTGTGAACGGTCATGTCGAAAACCAAACCAAACCGGATGAATTATGAGCCCGACGCGGGTGAACGACAGCCCCGATGCGGTTAAACTACGAACCCGAGACTTTTATCTATCGTCAAGTCTTCTGTGAGTGTTATTACCATCAGTCGATGAATAATCGATTCGTTATTTACGAGGCGCATGTGCAAAATTGCATCTTTTATCCCTTGCTGCTTTCAGTCACAAGAAGTGGAATATAAAGCTGTCGCGATGCTTCATAAAATCGAAGCCGTACCAAAAGGCCTTCTACTTCAGACATGGCTACAGTGGAACGCCAATACGACCTCATCTTACTAGGCGCAACGGGCTATACTGGCCAGCTGACTGCAGCCCATATCTTCAAAAACCTCCCGCACGACCTGAAATGGGCGATTGCCGGTCGCAACGCAGCAAAACTCCAGAAATTAGCCACCTCACTACAATCCACCAACACAAACCGCGCACCGCCCCTCGTCGAAGTCATCGACTTCTCCAATGACAGCGTCCATACTTTGGTCGCCAAAACTCGCGTCCTCATCACCACAGTAGGACCATATCACCTCCACGGCACCCCGATCATCGAAGCTTGCGCGCGAACTGGAACACACTATATCGACAGCACCGGGGAGACACCTTGGGTCTACGACGTCGCGCACAAATATCACGCACTCGCGCGCGAGAACGGCGCAATTCTGATCCCCCACTGCGCCGAAGAATCCGCGCCGGCAGATCTTGCGGCGTTCGTGCTTACCAGCGCCATACGCGAGAAGACCGGCAGCGGGACCAAGAAGCTCGTACATTCTGTGCAGAAATTCGATAATGCGATGAGCGGAGGTACACTGCGCAGTCTCATCTCAGTCGCGGAGTCGTATCCGTTCCAGCATCTGAAGAAGAGTATACAGCCGTATGCATTGTGTGTTGATCGGCCCCCACGCGAGCCATTCGCACCAAAGGGCTATTCCTGGAAAGGCTCGGCGCAGATAGAGGGGTTGGGGAGATTGTCGGATTCAGTCATTGGGATCCCGGATACGAATCTGGTGTATCGCTCGTGGAGCTTGATGGGTGAGGATTACGGAGTCGACTTTCAGTACTGGACGGGCATGAAGACAGCTAACCGGATCACTGGATTTCTCTGGCATTGGATCATGGTGGTCAGCTTGCCCATGCTGGTGATCGCACCATTGAGGTGGATCATGCTGAAAGTGGTCCCTTCACAAGGCGAAGGGCCATCGGAGAAGTGAGTTGTTCTTCTCTTTCCTTTTTTTTTCTCGACGTGCAGCTAACGATGAATCTAACCTACAGGTCTCAAGCAGCCAGCTCTACTAAGTGGAAATCGATAGCTTACAGCGAAAAGAACTCGGGCACCACAGCTGTTTGTCATATGTCGTTTGATAGGGATATGTATTCCTTGACTGCGATCACGCTCGCTGAGGCGGCTATGGTGCTGCTCCGCCCGGACCGCGAGAACTGGGCGCAGAAGATTGGAGGTGGCGTTCTCACTCCCGCCACTCTTGGCCACCAGTACGTACAGCGAGTGAGAAACGCTGGGATCAACATAGATGTCGATATCTAGTCGGTATGATCTGGACACAGAAGTAGACCGCTGTTGTAATGTTTGCTCGGGATGTCATCAGAGGTGGTGTTATTGAAGGCCAAAACGAGAATTGTAGATGAAATTTTCTGCCCCTAATCCACAATCTTCACATTCTTCGAAAACTGTTTGTACCCAATGTTCATCTCATCCAAGCTCTTGGCCGCCGTCTTGTTTTCCAACATGTACACTTTTTCCAGCGTAACCCCATCAACATAGCTACTTTCATCGAACCCCGCAATCTTCCCCTGGTACTTTCCGAACGCCCTCGCCTTGATATTCTTGACTAGCACATCCTTGACAGGCCCAACCCCTTTCTTGACATTCTGCACAAACAACGCCAACCACGCGCCTGTACCGCCTGGCTCGCCACCCAGCGACTCGATATCAATGTTCACGAAACTGATGTTCCGCGCAGTACTGTTGCCGAATTTATGATGGATACCAAGACCAACGCCGGCGTAGTATACCACACTGTCCTTGAACACGACATTATCCTGATCAGAGTAAACGCCTTGTCCAACTTTATACCCATAGCAGCGCGTCCAGGCAAAGCACTGATCAAAAGAAACATCCCGGAGCGGTTGCGGTTTATAGGGATACGGAACAGTAGTCCCTTCCTTCTCCAACCACGTCTTGGTCGAGAAGCTATCATCGTTCGCAACCGCAATCGCGCGCCACACCTTGACATTGGTCGACTCCACAACATCAATCCCATCGTTCTGCTTCCCATAAATACTATCCAGGATCTTGATGTTTGTGAGTTTCGCACCGGTGACCTGCGTAGGGATCACGGCCCAGAAGGAGCTATCGCGCACGAGGACGCCGTCCATGACGAAATTTGTAGTGCCGACCGGCGCGACCATTGAAGCGATGAGTTTGTCCTCGATGAGGGGAGCGGCGTTGCCGTCAATGGTGCCGCGGCCGTAGATCTTGATGTCTTTTGAGTCGAACGCCGTCGAGATCCACCATGTGCCGTCGCCGAGGTCGGACTTGGTGTAGAGCACTTTGTAGTCGGCTTTCTTGCCTGTCATGCGGAGAACAGAGCCGCCGGCGAGGTATACTAAAATCGTGGATATGGAGTCAGTGAAAGTGTCTCCCTATTACTTTGTACGAGAGGGATGCTACTAACGGGAGGTTTGAGATGGGATCACAAGATTTCCGATGAGGTATAGTCCTTTTGGAACATAGACTGTACTGCCTGGTTCCTTTCCAGCGGCATCGAGAGTGTCTTGTATTCCTTTGGTGATTGCCTTCCCAGTGTTGTCCGCGCCATGGTCCAAGACATTGAAGATCCCGTTGCCTTTGGAGGGTGGTGCATCGGCCTCCAAGCGGTCTATCATGACGACGATTTCCTTGAGTTTGTTCAACTTGATGATCAAGTAGTGTACCTTCTCTATGGAAAAAACCAGTTCATTGTCCTCCACGCGCGACTTGATGGGTAGTTGAAGCGGCGAGACAACGGAATCTGTGACCTTCGCGCCGGACGCGATTCCGATTCGAAATTCAGTTGGATATCCTTCAGTCATGGACAACTGAACGTAATCGTGGCCTGCATCGAGGTGGTCGATCGTTTTGGCCTCCGTGCCATTGATCTTGACGGTATATTGTGTCGACTTGGAATAAATTGATGGTGGGTCATAGCCGACCCATTCTGCAGTGGCAAGCGATAAAACGCTCGCTGCAATGAACAATACTCGTTGCAGCATGGCGTTCGAGCGATAAAGTTAATGACAACCGAAAAGTGCCTTCTTTTACTGGTAACAATACAAAGCGTTGCGAGACCTTGACTTTGCTTACATGGTACAGTGATATACTATTCAACGTGCCGAAAGGCGTCCGTCTGGTGTGAACATAATTTCCGCTATATTTAGAGTTTCTGGCCCCATGCGGAGTCCAAGGCTATATATATGTGCCTAATTTCTTCCCCTGCACATCGTATTCTCCATTTTGGGACGATCCCGTGTTAAGCGAGACTTTATGTCGTAGCTCGACCCATTCCGGCAGTTTTGAAGCAGGAGATCTAAATTTACGGGGCCCTAAATTCACTATAACTGCTCGGAAGTCGTACGAGTTATAAGTGGCTATTTGGTTCGGAGGTGGGCACTCTCAGATCGCTGATTGTAAAATGTAACTGTCGCTTTATTGCATCGATTTTGCGGTTTAGAGTGGCGAAGGGGTGTGCGTGTGTCACGGCGCAGGGGTTAATACGTGTGTACTGTGTTAAAAATAAGAAAGGTGATCACCAGACTGATCTGTGATTGATTCGTATTTCAAACATACTGGTGGTGCACAGGAAGCATATCACGGACCGGGAGGTGTCTATTAGAAGAAAAGGTTGTCGGCCTACTAGCCTACTAGCCTAGATGTCTCACAACCCTTTCCCAAGCGCCGAACTAGGTGAGACCTAGTGAGTAATGGCAACTGGCGGGGAAAGGTATTGTAGAATGTGACAAGCCCGATCAATGCTTCAACTTTGTCAAGTTGGTTGGTATCGTACTCAAAATTTGTTACTGTGGAATGCGGAATGTTGGAGACAAAACACTCCAGCACACAAAATGAACATGACAATTGCACTATTCTATTGTCTAATACCCTACTATTTAGAATCCTCTAATACGAGGAACAACTGCGTTGGGCGCAAGAATGGTAAGTGCTCTGGCGCAGAGACATATTGCACATAATGGCACACATGAGAGAAGCCTGCCGGATGCGTGTTGTTTATTCTGAATGCATGGAAACAAACCCCAAATCTCTTGCAGGAATGACCATCTCGGTGAAATTTGGTGGTCGTCTCAATAACCAGGGGCCCGATTGCCAAGTTTCAACCCCACAAGACTCATCTGTAGATAGTCTGGGTCCGATTTGATCAACTTCCCTACATCTCCATTCGCTAGCTCTTCCACATCCCAAGCAGCCCACACCGTACGTCCATGCAGAAAAGCAGCCTCGTCGGAAGCCGCCCACACGCCATATGAACCAGGTAGTTTGACTGAGTTTCGAAAACAGTTAGCATGTGAAGGAATAAAAAAAGAGACTCAGAGTTTTTAACACACCATCATCGAAAGGAAGCATGTCCTCGGTAATGCCTATTCTTTCGAAACCATCTCCAAATACTGTGCCAGGATGGAGCGTAACCACTTGCAACTGCTCTCGAGATGTTTGATTTGCAATTGCCTGTATATACACGGCTGCAGCGGATTTGCTGATATAGTAGGGCGCTAAGTTCACAACCATAGGATGGGTCTGAGAGTGAATAACGGCGCTCGTCATATTGACGAGATACTTACATCTGTCAGCACTTATCTCTCGTAGTTTGCGCGTCGAATCGGCAACTCACCTTCTTCTTGTCAGGGTTCTGCTTCATAAAAAACTCGGTCAAGTACATTGCACTCCGCACATTGGCTTCCATATGGCCCCACAATTCGTCCGTGCCCAACTCGACGAGGGGCGTCATATCTGCAAATTTGGCTGCATTCAAGACCAAAACATCAACTGCCAGGCTCTTAGCCGCGAGGTCCTCGAAAAGGGCGGTGATATCAGATTTGCTGCTCTGGTCCAATTTATAGCGGAGGAATTGGGTGGGGCTCTTGGCCTCTGTTGCTGCCTCACTAAGCTCTTTGACAGCGGCATCCAGGACGTCAACTCTTCTTCCAGCGATGATAACGTGAGACGCAGAGGCAAGGGCAAAGTGTTGAGCCATTGACTTCCCGATACCTGTTCCCCCTCCCGTGATAAGGACGACGCGATTCGCCTGGCTGAGCTCAGGCCTGGTTGGGGACAAGGCAGAGTAAGTTGTGTTGTGGGTGGTCGATGTGACATTCGTCTTCATTATCTCCTCGATATTTTCCATTGGATTCATGGCTGTTGAGAAAGTGCTTGGGAAAAGTTGTAAGTGAATATCGAAGTAGATTTGAGCTGAACAAAGATGATTTAAGTTTGGTTTGTTGGACCGCGGATCTCCATGGTTTATATACCCATTTTTTTCACCAGTAGTTCGAATTGATTTTGAAAAATCCATACCCGCAACTCTCATCAATCCGCAATACCGCAACATTTTGTGGGTTTATCCCGCACCACTGTTATGCTCAACGTTGATCTCTTACTGCTGACCGTTGCGGCCACTAACCACTTTCGGTTGGCGCCCGCCATCGTGAGTCCGCGTTTCCGCAATTATTCGTCCCTCAACTGTACGAGTGTCAATACACCCCGCAAGCCGTGGCAACCACTATATTCTACTCTATTCTTTGTTGTGTATCATGGAAGTCGTTGGCGCTAGAAGATCCTGTCGTCACTGCAGCGGAGCTAAGCGGAAATGCGACCGAGCCGTGCCGTCATGCCGACTTTGTAGGAGAAAGAAGCTGGAATGCGTATACCCGCCTCGAAAGCCATCTCGCTTTGTTCCAATCGAATCTGAGAACACGACATCTATTTTTTCCGATTTAGAAAGCAATTTGCTTGACTTCGAGGCCATGAACGACGCGCTATCACTATCCTTTCTTGCCCCAGCGCTCGACAACCAGTCAAGTTCAACAGTCGCGTTGGACGTGGAAGAAGCCAGACATCGTGGAGCCTGGTTTTTAGAGCCTGATTCCTTTTTGGTCGATCATAGACCCATGCCCATTCCTCTAGACTTCCAAATCAGCGATCTCTACAAGTACATCGGACTTTTCCAAGAGTGGATGGTGTCATGGGTGAAGACCTGCCACAATCCTTTCATTCACCCCAAGTTGTATCGGCACGGATTCCCTCATTGTCTACAAACTGCCTTCACGACATATTCCGCTTATATCAGTAGAACACCAGACAATAGAGCAACTATTCTTGGTATTGTGAACGACCAAGCGAATATCATCACCTCCATGTATGACGCGGAAACGGATACGTCCTCACCTTTGCTAGACGACATAGCACGTATACACGCGCTGTTGGCTTACCAGATCATCAGTCTTTTTGATGGAGATATCCGTTCGCGCCATCTCGCAGAGAAGCGCACACCTTATCTCACCATGTTCATGGACTCCGCCCTCGAGAAAGCCAGACGGTTCGGGAAAGAGCAGATTGTGGCTGAAACCACCAATATCACTGTAGCTTTATGCCAATCAGCCATCTCAGATGAATCGCTGTGGCAGCTGTGGATTATCTCGGAAAGCCTGCGACGCACGTGGCTCATCTCTGCTGCCGTTATATGCGGATACGAGGCTATTAAAGAGGAGTGGACGAGTTGCTACGGCGATCTTTTGTTCACGCACGGTGTAGATTTGTGGTCGGCGGATTCTGCTTCTGCTTGGACGAAGTTGGTTGCTGAACGAGACGTGCTTTTTTTGGGTCGGTTCGATGGGGAGCGGCTGTTCAAGTTGCCAGAAAGGGACGTGGATGAATTTAGCAAGTTGATGCTGGAGTTGACTTTTGGGAAACAGAGATATGCCGAGTGGCTGCATAGAGCCTGAATTCGGGCAAACTCTGATGCGGAATGGAATAGTATTATGTGATGAATTTACCCTGTGGACGCTGCTTTGTCGCGATGAGTTGAAGGTAGTTCCACCTGCTGTAAATACCGCTTACCTTAGCGCAGTGTTGACAAATAGACAGAATGTACATGCGCCTCTGAAGTAGTCCTATCCTAGAACAGCGTAGTTCGTATCGGCGAAAGCGTCCATTATAAGCAACTTTGTTGGGGAACGTGCCCCATAGATCCGGGAAGTAGAGAGGAACATAACCGCTCGCCTTAAAGTCTGGCGGTTGAACTGAAATTCAAACCCCTACTCCTGCGATGGTGTCCCTCTATCTCTGAGAGAGTGATCTAACACATAAAACCACTTCTATGATTGATTTGTCGAGGCTGATGTGAGGCTTTGCGAAGTATTACACGCGCCACTCAATTTCTGTGCCAACTTTTATTGACCGCCATGGGCATTAGTCCCAGCTACGGTAAAAATCCGGGACTGTAGATTGAAAAATGGGCCTTGATCGGAGTGAAATTCGACGTTCATTCGGTGAACGATCACGATACGAGGGTGGACAAAAGCCGACCTGCCATCTCAGGCGGTTCGCTCACCCCGGTTCGCTCGTAAAACCAGATGGCTTGGCCAATCGGCATCCGATCAATGCCTGGATACGAGACTTTCTCAAGGAGGAATGGGGCCATTTGCGGGTGGAAACACAAACTCGCCATCCCCGCACCGATCGAGCACTCCAAAACCTTCCACGGAACTCTATTGTGATAAGCTACACCGCGCGCGATCTTTTCATGGAGCTAGTAGCCTTGGCCTCCAGGTCACTGGATTCCCTCGGAGCAAGGGTGGCCCTCTCTAATGGCAGGCGGACCATCGAGGATGAAGCAGCGAAGCTACACCACACAGCATTTCTGGTGAGGATATTCGAGGATGTCTTCTTCAATTCTAACAGAATTTTAGGCTCTGATCGGAACTTTCACAGGGTTAGCTTTGGTTGCTGTGGCGACGCGCACCTTCTTCCACTTCTACAAACGTAGAAAACTACTGCTAGACGATATACTTGTGATTTTTGCTGCTATCTGCCTAATTATCGCGACGGGGTTTGTCTACCACATGCGCGAGTGGATGTACATGACTGCAGCGCTGGCATCGAACCCCAAAAATGCAGCTCTTTACACGAAAACCGAGCTCCAGTCACTGCCGAAACTGCTCAAATGGAATAACCTTTTCCTGATTTTCTCCTGGACCGCTATTACTGCCGTCAAATTGAGTTTTCTGGCTATTTTTTGGCTGCTTATCAGAGATGTCAGTCAGCGGCTTGTGCTTCTATGGTATTTCACAACGGGAATGACGGTACTTTCATGGCTGTTCAACATCTTACGAAATCCGATTACCTGCGGATAGGAAAAAGGTAACGAAGAAAAGTAGGGTGCGCATTACGTTCATTCCTCAATTAACTGTGCACAGGAAACAAATGCTCACCAGTGCCTCGTTTTGTCAGCGAACTCGGATGGACAAGTTCGGCCGTCGATGTCGCTACTGATGTATTGATCATCCTGATTCCAATACGTCTTCTACGCAATTCGCTTCTTCGAACTACCCAGAAAATCCGTATTCTTTGCTTCCTTTGCCTGAACGTTTTCCAGATCGGAATCTGCCTGGGGCGTTCGATCGGCAGCGGTTTTCGCGACCGCGAGGGAAGAGTGAAATTTGGCATTGTTTACACCTTCTCGTTGATACATGTCGAAGCCAGCGTTGCTGTGATCATGAGCGGGCTGACTGCATTTCGCACTGTTTTTGCATCGGGTATTCGCGACGGCAGAGGGGAACGCATGCATGACGATCATGATCAGGTCCAGCGCCGATGGGCTGGACTCAGGATATGGCGGAGAAAGGAGATTACTGAACGTTCGAACAATACACAAAGGATCGGAAAAGGATATCTCCGTGGGCCAGCCACCGGTGGAACGCTACGGGGTCTTCGGACCTTTATTCGCCGACATGAGAGAGAACCAGGCCATACAACGATCGATAGCATCGGGGATGAATCTAGACACGATCCCTGGAAAAGTTACCATGAATACGTAAGAGGAGATCAACCATTAGGGTCGCAAATTCCACTAGAGTTGATCAGCAACAGTCACGTGGCCGAGGTAAGACGCGATAGACTACCCCGAATGAATAATGCATGTACTCATCGTGTCGAGGTTTCACAAGATCGAACTCGGAAATCTCAATCGGATGCAAAGCCTGAAGTTGCATCACCTTGACGAAGGGGAAATTCTTTCGGTGTTTAAAGCCGCACTGTAGTGATGCTTGTTTTTCGTTTCAAGCCGAAACAAGCAACCCCGAGCTGCTCTTACTCCCCCTTGAGGTTGAGCTAATATCGAAGTACAGTAGATACCGATTTTATTCCCCCCATTTCCTCAACTATAATTTCGGTGAGAATGGGATTGTCTGAGAACAGAAGTTAGAGAAAAGCAGTACCATCCTGACTGTAGTTTCATGACCGACGAAAGATCGCGATCACGTCACGAATTTTCATAGCTAGTTTAATGAATGTCATATGAAGTAGGAAGTCGAAATCTCGGCTTCAAGTTCAATGGACACATTGCATTGTCTCTGGGGCCTGTACATGCTACTGAATTTTGACGATTCAAGACTCCCCACTCCGAGTTGTCGCCTTCACCTGTGCATGCACCTGAGCAATGACATTCTGGTACTCCTCAAAGCTGTTGATACCCTTAGGCATGCCATTAGATTGCAACCCCTGTTCATCCATCAACTCCGCTCTTTTTTCCATCATTTTGATCCACTTGGGGCGGCTCGTCATCCGTTTGTGCCATGCCTCGACTTGAGGAAAGCTTTCGAAAACCTCCTCAGGCTTGCGCCCCGCAGCCGTATGGATGTTATGGTTCCAAGGCACGAATGCCATGTCCGCAAAAGACATTTTGTCCCCTACTAGCCACTGGCGATTTACCAGGGACGTTTCCAAGACGCCAAGTACACGTTTGACCTCATTGTTGTAGCGATCAATGGCGCTGGGGAGTCTCTCGGGGTGAAGAAGATTGAACCACCCAGCTTGACCAAAATATTTAAACCAGACGGTGATACACCTGATCATGAATGCCAGTTCCGCCTTCATTAAGTCTTAATATCGGAATGTCTACCTGGTTGCATATCCAATGCTAGACGTGATCACCACACTCCGACGCAGTGTAACCGCTCAGAGCAAGGAACTTAGAATCTTCGTGGGAGCCTTACGCGCTTTTCACAAAGTCTATCTTTTTTTGTTTTTCTCAAAGTAGAAGGACATAGGATTAGAAAAGAAAATATTGCTGATATTACTCATTATCTCTCGGTATGCTTTAGACTAGCAAGAAAAAAAACCCTATTTACTAGCAGTTCTGAACTGTTCCATGGACTGTATCGAAATCAAATTGAAGATGCGAATTGCGTAGTCGATACGGATCAACAAAAACAGTCGTGCCAACATTTGAGGTTGATACATAGTAGACCCTCAAGATGACGAAAACCTCGTCGAAGGTGCTTGACAAGGGTGTACCCACTTCTGGTACGGCAAGGTCCTCCATCTTCATTCGGTCAGCATGGGCTGTGGTTGGGACTGAGACAGGATAGCTTACCATCTTGTACTGCTTGCTACTAAGAAAGAACCGAGTCTCACAGGCGCCAGGCGTGGTCTTGACTTCAAGGTAATATTTGATAGGGAGGAGAGCAAAATCGCGATCCAGTTGCAGGGCTGAAGGTAGCCCTCCTGTACAATGACTGTCCAACCATTGTGTTAAGATACCATCTCGATCGGTGTATACAATGTCGGCAGTCTCAACTCCATTCCAGTTATGCAGATCAGCGCATCCAGGCTGGTCGCGCACCTCACCGCGAAGGGTGCTTTGCCAGTTTTCATCGCGGGTGAAGCCAGGAAGGTACAGTGAATCGAGGGTCTGGACAACCTAGGCGAAAATTTTAAGATCATTTGCGTCCGAATTTGTCTATATAGTGATGGACTTACATGGAGTTCTCCGAGAGCGCCGATGCGCCGATGATACGCTTGGGTAGTCAGGCTCCGACCATCGTATGTGCCAGTACGACCATCTTCTACATCTGGGAAGCTCAAATCTGGTAATTCATTATGAAAAAGGTTTGTTTCGGGGCTGGATCGGTTGGCTCTGTTATGAGCAGATCGTGCGCTTGTCGAGAAAACTTCTGTCGTCTCCTCAACTTCACTCGCGAGCGGAGTCTCCGCTTCCGGAGGGTCTGTTACCTCGGGCTGTTGGATCCAAGACACATTCGGTATGTCCAGTTCTATCAGGACATCATTCACACTCCAAATTTTTGCTCGGAGTATCTCTGATATGGCGAGTGCTGCTTCTGAAGAAACGCCGAAGAAGGTAGCAAGAAACTTGGGCACCTGCAGCCTGAAGCAGGACTCCAGCTGTCGCTGGCTATCTGGGACAAAAATCTTCAAGCTTCCCTCGACTACTTCATGATGAAGTGCTGGCCGATCGCTTTGTATGGACAGCTGAGTTTCACCACATGCGAGAATCAAGTTCGTAGAAATTTCATCGGTTTGGTAGATGCGTACTTGCGACAGTTGATCAAACAGAGCGATGTCTCCATGAAGCGCTCGAGTACTCTTGTACTTAGCCGCACAGCTTCTCAAGTCAGCCATTGCAAAGGGGGTGGCCTGCACTTCAGATAGGTCGGACATACCAGTAAAGCCAATAGGCTTTGCTTCGTAACAAATGCGTAAGGTTTGCACTTTCTATATGAACCTCTCCCACCGTGGATGACTCATTGACGGCTACCGAAAGATAGCGCGACGTCAATCTCATATGTTGAAAAACAGTATCGAGAATCTGCACTTCGTGCAACCCAAAGTCCAACAGAATAGACTTGTCGGCAAAGGCGATTCCGTACCGCTCGTGATCAAGTATAAAAAATTCGTCGCCGGCACTGAGGAGTTCCAATTCGCCACTATTCGTACGCCTAGGCAGAAATTTGGTCTCCCGCAGTTTGTCGAGAGCACTCACTATGGGTTCATCAATTTTGAATTTGGCTAAGATATCCCCGATCTGTATCAGCCGTTCACGAATATCCGGAATGATTTGAGGTTGAGATTGTGCGTCTTTAGTCAGCGCGCAGAGGTCTCTTATGAGCATAGCTGGTGTAGCGCTCTTCACTTTGAGATGGTTGATGAAGAAAGTCTTGAGAGTGGGATATGAAGTTCCTAGATCTTCGTATCCTGAGAGCGAAAACGGACTGTTCCACAGACATGTCTCGATGGTGTGCCAAGTTTCATCGACACCCATTATGAGGGGTCGACTTTGGAATGCTTCCCTACCCTGATTGTCAGCGCAACCGGTGTAATTTTCATTGATACATACCTAATTACTTCCCACTGTGCCTCAGCATGAATATTGTCTTCCAACCATCGGTAAACTTCGGTTGTGTTAGTAATATTCCTTTTCCAGGATGATATTCTTTGATCATCTAGCTCCTCAAAAACATCCTCCAAGTTCCAGTCACGTATTCCAAGAAGCACTTTGAAAAGGTTAGGGACGTCTTCTTGATCACCGTAAAGATGTTCTAAAGGATGTACGACAGTGAGAAAGTCAGGTCCGTTCCAAACGCACTCGAATGGCATGACCCAGTCGCTCTCTACCCAAATTGAGTCGAATTCATTGAAGAATTTTCTGAGTTCAAACTTATCACTCAGTGTAGATAGTTCGGCTATGCTGTTATACACGTCTGTAACACACTCTGTGGTCGTATTGTTGGTCTCCGCTAGTTGTCGAAGGACAATTTCGTAAAAGTTTCTGTCTATGTTGTAGCCTACTTTCAAAGTCTTCAAAAATTCCCATCCGTCTTGATTTGACTCGTCAATGGGTGCTGGTAGTTTTAGCAGGGGAAAGCCATTCTCTGCTTGCAGGTCGCGTAATCTCGATTGGATGTTGATCGTAGGGATATAGGTACCGCCAAGTGGTACTAACCGACCAGACATACAAGGGACCTTGCATTCTATGAGCTGCCATTTAACGGATGGTATCTGTGACTTGTACTCGTCCCAATGCGCTTTCAACAAACCCACGAACTTTCCAGGGTTGTGTTCCAGAACCGCCTCAAACACTGGGGATAACTGTCTACTCCCGTCTTCATCGCGTGCACTCGATTTTAGAAGAGCAGGATGGTATCGAGCCCCTGTGACACGCTGTAGCCATTGCTTCCAGGACAGGTTTTGTGGTCGGATGGTATCAGGGACAAGATTCGTGTAATCAGGGCTGATCAACAGAGCCACCGCATCGTCCTGGGTAAAGCAATTTCGCGGCAGGAGTTGCTCGGTATCGAATTCGTCACCCCCCGGCATGAAAAATGGTATGGTCGAATCCGCGGCCCGCAGGTAATCAGTATCAGGTACCCACATCCACCTAGTCAGCGATTCTGGCTCAGAATGATAGTGAAATAAATACTTAGAGTGAGAAGGATAATTGATGAAGCTCGAGCCGAGATTTCGTTGAGTTGCTTCTATCTTCGCCAGAACTGTATCTTTGGGGCAATCCTTCACACCCAACTTCTGAAACAATTGCCTGCGAACAGCATTAGACGCGGCTTTGTGTTCCACGAGCATGAGACCAATATCGTCCGGAATATCGACATTGCCAGTCTGCGGGAAATATAAGTCGCTGAGACCTCCCGGGCTAAATCCAGGGGCTCCGGTCCATCCATCACCCACAGGAATAATAGCGAGTCGCTTGATTCGTCGAAGAAATCCCTCTTCTGTGTATTTGTTAAGTGCTGACATCAAAAACTCTGCGCACGCTTCATGCCAAGCTTCTGATGTTGAGCCGGTGCGGATGTAAGAATCAATGGCCACAAGGTCCTGCGAGACCCTATCGATAGCACCACTAGCTCTGAGAATTGTTGTGCCTAGGTCCTCTAGAAGCACGCGGTGTCGCCACTTGTACTCAGGGGCCAGATAAATCTCATTTTCCAGGTCCCGAAATAGAGGTTGGCCGTCGTGGACAAACCAAGACGGCAGCCTGCGCAAATTCTTTGGAGATTTGAATAGTCGTTTCTCCCAGGTTTGAAGGACAGGAAGTTCCTGTAGAATGCTTGTGATATGCGAGTAGAAATCCTTCCATAGGCCTTCCATAGGTTGCGCAGGAAGAAAATCCAGCCACGAGTATAGAAGTGCATGGCCCGCCACAGCGAAAGTACGAATTGCTTGGACAAATAACTGAGCCGTTCCCTTTACAATTGTATCATTCCAAGCGCAATCTATGACGGTCTCGCGACTTGCTGACGCAATGAAATCGGATTGAATCAGAAACTGGAAGGTATTAGTGACCATGTTGGCATGTTTGGCCAGTGACCTACCTGTAATTGTGGTATGCGTTGCAAAGGAAGATAAGCAAAAACATGCTTTCCGAGTGGTGACAGCTTTGGTTGGTCATTGGCGTCGAGTGGAAACGCCAGCTCCACCTTGACACTCGCTCTCCCTTCTCGACGCTCGTCTTTGGGCATGTCTGCCACTACGTGATCGAACACAGCATAAGTACTCTCATCTGTACTTTCGATGCCGTCCACGCCGGGACTCTCGGTTGTTCGTATGAGCCGTATCTTCCCGTGCGAAATGCATGACTTAGTGATCACTGTTCTCGTTTCCAGCGAACTAGAATCTCTTACGATAACCTCGAACATTTCCAAATGCTGCAGGAAGAAGATGGTAGTATCAGGCATACTCGAGACAGCTTTTTCAAGACGGTCGCGCTCTTTTCTATCCACTTTTGAGAGCATGAGGGTTATCCGTGTGGTAACATTCTCGGGTAAATATTCATGGTGCATTTCGAGGGGGGTGACCATTCCGAGGCCATCGTCACCTTGCTTGTGTTTGAACGCAAAGCTCCATACTCCCGACTGTACACGCACCTTCTTTGCGACACTGAATACCGATTTGAAACCAAAGCCTTTCTCGCCAATCTGTTGATCAAGCGCTGATGCTTTTTTAGAGCTTTTGCCGGTTTCGCAGATAGCGTTGACGTTGGCCCTGGTGAAGCCATCTTCGTTTGTTTCGAATATGAACTTTGTGGGTGTGATGCGGAACCGAAGGTATGGGGTTCTTCCCTCCTGAAGACAGCGTTCGTATCGCGAATCATCGGCATTTTGGACAAGTTCGTAAAGGAAGCGGTATTTGGATGAGTAAAGCTGTTCGGAGATGCTGTGTATGCTTAGCGGGCGGGAGTCTATCATAGTCATGCTACGGGCTCTCTACCTTTTGGTGAAGGCTGCTTCCATTTCGCGTTTCTTCTCGAGCGCGCCCATGACTTGTTGCCGACTTCGATCGGGCATTTTTTGAACGTCTTGCATCGTGGCATCATCTAGATATCCTTTCTCCTTCTGTATGTGCTCGATTACTGATTGCGCTTCCAGTGGTGTCAACGGCTCCCGTGTCCCTAAATCCTCGAAAATATTTTGCAGCGATCCGGCTGGTGCGTTCTGATCATTCATCATTCTAGATGGAGACTACACCGTCACCTCGTCTCTGGCTTCCAATCGTTCCCTCGATTAGTTTTAGGAGTAAAAAGTTACGTCCACTTCCCGCCTACGCGGAATGGAAAGGTACTGAAATGTGGATTGTGATGCGATGGGTACCAAAAATGCGTTCACTTATACCAAATGGTGATCAGAAGGGGACAGTCGTTGCCAAACGTCGTACATTCATACATAGGCACTTTGATAATAAGCGCCCGCACATCTTGCTGTGCCGCGTCTCTGCAGGGACAGGTCACACATGAAACGCTTCGGGATGGGGCCAATTTCAACGAACACGAATGGCCAAATGAATGGCTTTGCTTTCCGCAGATGCATTTGCCGATGACGGGCTGAAATCACGCAAAGCTCTAATGCATGTTGCTTCTGCCAGGTTGTACTGAGGCTGTGAAAGGTTGGGTTGTGGTGGCCGTTCAAATGTCGGCATCCAATCCGCGCTTAGGTATTTTAACGATATTTCATCAATGTGTCGTCCTGCCCAGAGCTTCAAGGCAGCCTTGTTAGGTGTTTTTGTATTACGAAGTGTTGTTGCCGCATCAGATTGCGATGATTTAGTCGACTATCAAGTACAAAGGCTGTACCTGTAGAGTCTACACACACGTGACACATTACCCCATGTTCGTCCTACCGCTATTTTGCCGAATTGCCGAGGTTCGTTGTGCATTCTAGTGTCTACCTCAACCTAGAAACCGATTACACTCCGTTGAAAGCAACAGCAATAGCATCTCTCGAAACCACAATGTCGTCGAGAGCAGCATCATCAACATCTGGATTCTTTCAAGCTCCGCCATCGCTTCCACCACAATTCACGTCCCCTCATGAGGTCCAAGCACGAGCTACGGAGAAGAACGGGGCGCTACCTGCGGGCGATCCAGCGCTGACGCGCATCATGTTCCAGGAAAAAACATCGTCACCTCCCATCTTCACAGGGTCGCGCGCGTAGCATTGGATTCACGAGTGCTCGCGCACGCCACCGATGCGGAGATAAACCACCCAGTCCTCCGACCACTGGCAACTTTTGGCCAAGAGAATCAAAACGACCCACTATGGACGACAGCAGGCTGGCAACGTCTGAAGGAGATTGGAGTCGCGGAAGGCGTGGTTGGAATCTCTTATTCTCAATCGAAAGAGACGGAAAATATTAATCGGAGGGTCTACGCGTTCGGCGTCAACCATCTATGGGGTGTCACGGGCACGATGACAGGCTGCCCGATGACAATGACTGACGGAGCTGCGAAGTTACTATCAAAACATATGGGGGATCCAGACGGGGATGAGAAAGGCCGATCACAAGTATTTCAGGAAGCGTATCGTCGAGTGACGAGCCGAGATCCTACATATGCGTGGACCAGTGGGCAGTGGATGACCGAACGTAGCGGTGGAAGTGATGTTTCCGGTACAGAAACAATCGCTACACGTATATCACCGGAAGAGCTGGCGCGAGATGAGGGTTCGCCTAGAAGCCTGGACGCGGTCGGCATGCCTCTCGGCCCTTGGAAGATCAATGGGTTCAAGTGGTTCAGCAGCGCCACAGATTCGGAAATGGCAGTGCTACTTGCGAACACCGAAAAAGGACTAAGCGCTTTCTATATGCCAGTCAGACGACGCAAGGGAGATGCTACTTCCACCGTCAGGATCAATGGTTTGGATGCGCCTCCCGAGACCGAACTTAACGGTGTCCGAATCTCACGTCTGAAGAATAAACTCGGCACCAAATCGCTTCCCACCGCCGAGCTTGAGCTCCGCGGTGCTCGGGCTTGGCTGATTGGTACCGAAGGCAGAGGTGTCGCTGAGATTGCCGCAGTATTGAACATCACACGTATGTCCACTGCAGGCGGAAGTGTAGCGAGCTGGTCTCGCGGTTTAGCCATATGCCGTGCCTACAGCAAAGTTCGCAAAGTTCGCGGTGGGCTACTACAAGACATTCCGACACACTTACGCTGGATGGCCGAAGAGACCATCAAATACCACGCCGCAGCTCACTTCGTGTACTTCGGTGTCGCACTCCAAGGTGCGCTCGAACAATCGTATGATGCCGTTGTGAGCAACACCAAAGCCGCCAAATTGATACCCAGCGATGAGATCAGCATTTCATTGCTTTTAAGATTGTTGCTGCCTGCGATGAAAGCGCAGGTTTCCGTCGCCTCCGTCAACGGGTTGAGGGAATGCATGGAATGTCTCGGTGGTGTAGGGTACTGCGAAAACAACGAAGAGGGTGGGTTGATGAACATCGCCAAAATCTATCGAGACAATCTTGTCAATCCAATTTGGGAGGGTACTGTTAGCGTCATGGCAGAAGATGCTGTTCGGGTGATTACCGATAAGCGCTTAGGTAGTGGCGATATTCTCAGTAACGTGTTCAAGCCATGGGTGATGGCTGTGCTTGATGGCTGTGCCGATTCATTCCAGCAGGAGGTCGTGCTAGTGAAAGAGAAGATGGAAGCGTTGTCCAATTTGACTAATGGGAAAGGGAAAGACGAGCTCACCTATCGAGGACGAGAGATCCTGGGTCATCTGGAAGCGATCACGTCATCACTGCTACTGCTTTTTGATGCTACAGCCAACCCGGGATATCCTGTACAGACAATTGCGAGTCGGTGGGTGCGCTCAAGATGTTCGCAAGATTCGGTAACAGAAGATGTACAAACCTGGCAGGATCGGGTGGTGGTGGATAAGAGTATCTTCCTGGGCACTTCTGGAGGCGAAATGCGGAGACCTGCAAAGCTTTAATGCCCATGTCTTCGTGCGCATGACGCGCTTGCTAAACGGAAGTGGTGGGCAGTTCGGACGGCGATGTTTGTGTCACGGTGTTCCGGTTTTCACACATCAGCCGGTAGACACATGACCAAAATTCCAGATATGACGAGGCTGCGATGAGCAGTGAAAAGCAAAAGCAGCTTGAGATGGTTGCGCGATGATACGAGTCACCTTTTACAAGGCCGAAATGTATATAGTAAGTGTCGCGAGTACACCCAACAATCGGTCCCCTTGCTTGTACTGATTGTGGCGAATCGTCTAGATGAACTGTTAACAATACCGATGTAGCAGAGTCCGAGTCTGATAAAGTGACAAGGTCGCTTTCCAAATCCTGTGGAGGGCCGGATGGAGCTGCCGGCAGCTCGTCAAGGACAGAGCAAATCCAAACACAACTGGACTATCGATTTTTACGTGCTGAGTGAGCACTGAAGTAAAAACTGGTGTTTCAAAAATGGTGTTTTAAAAAGGCGGGTCAACCCGATGACTAAAAAACACGTGGACTGCACACAAGTAGACTTCCGGGCCAAGTGGATGGGCATCCAGTGATCATATACATTCTTGGTGAACTTGTATGTTTTTCAAGTTCACCAAGAACGTATATGATCACTGGATGCCTATCCACTTGGCCCGGATTTGTTCTGTCCTTGACGAGCTGCCCGCAGTTCCATCCGACCCTCCACAGGATTTGGAAAATATCGAAACCTTCTCAGAATGCTGTCTTTCTTCAACGAAAATGCACAGCATAGGCTAGAAGACAAGGGGCGAAGCGGGGTCCTCAGCTAGTGGGAGTTGAAGCGCTTGGCTAGGCTGACTATTTATCTGCGGTTTCAGATCTGCAGTGTCAGCTTAGTACATCTATGTACACAACGTTTTCGTCATTTCATTTTCGGAAGGCGGTCAGCGCGATTCATCCGACATGTCCTGTGTGTGACTCAATGGATGGACTCAATCGTCTAGGGTTCGGGCGTTACTACACATCATGAGCGTTCCACTGAGACGACTCTTGCTTCGCGATAATTCATTGCTAGATCTCATTGGCAATGTTAGCATAACGAAAGATGAGATGTTTGTAGAGGGACGACGTCACTTACCGAATTCATTGAACGAAGTCCAAGGGGCACTGTACAACACATTCGGTCCTTTGTATGCATGAACATCACAGCGCCTTGCTAGACTGTGAGCACGATGCTTATGCTCTGTTCCCTCCAATGAAAAGTACGCATCAGCCACAAACCGTTCCTGGGTTATTCGAGCTGCATGGAACTGCACAAACGTTGATATTTTAAAGCTGTGTCTCAAACCCTGTTTCAGTCACCTCACAGATTGGGGTGATGTTATTACTTCTTCTTTCCCGGTTTACTAAATCTTGGCCATCTGGCTGACCGCAATTTGCACTACACTTGTCACATGGTAGTCGCACATATTTTAGAGCTGAACTGCATCGGAAAGTTTGGTAGTTATAGCGAGCAGCTATGCCAAACAGATCTGGACGAGCGATGGGGTTGCCGATACATAAATCCGGACATGATGGTCTCGAGAAAATGTAAGCTTTGCGATTGTTCCACTCAATTCTAGTGCGTGAGTACTCTTTTACCTGTATCCCCGCTTGTACCACAACTTACGGCTTTTGAAGTTTGTCTTTCCACCCAATATATATTGAAGAGGAGGAACTGTGTCGTACCGATGTACTTCCAAACTAGACCCTAAGCCAGCATGTCTTCAACACGGGATCGAATCCTCACCCTAGTTCTTCTCACACTCGTCTCTGCCGGACCCTGCGATATTTATGGTTCTGGGAATACTCCTTGTGTAGCTGCGCATAGTACCACCCGAGCTCTTTACGATTCCTACAAAGGCAACTTATACCAAGTCCAACGAGCCTCAGACAGTAAAACACAAGACGTCGCTCCCCTGAAGCCCGGAGGAGTTGCGGACGCTGGTTCGCAAGACAAGTTTTGCGAAGGCACTAGCTGTGTCATCAGCATCATATATGATCAATCGGGTCAAGGGAACGACCTTCGCGCCGCACCATCAGGAGGCGCAACTGGTAACCAAACAGGTCCTGATAGATTAGCTGATGCGACTGCTGCACCTGTGAAGGTTGATGGTCAGAAAGCTTATGGAGTGTTTATTTCCCAAGGTGTTGGGTACCGTCAGGATGTCACCAAGGGAGTCGTTACTGGGGATAAGGAAGAGGGAATGTACTTTGTTGTTGACGGGACGCACTCAAATGGCCAGTGCTGCTTCGATTATGGCAACGCAGAGGTGTCGAATAACGACACGGGAAAAGGTATGTTGGAGATGTTTCACGTGCAAAGCGTGCGCTGACCGATAGATAGGCAGTATGGAAGCACTCTACTTCGGTATGCGCACTATCCGAACCCCAGAGAACTGACGAAACTGACAAAAGATGAAGGTAATGCCCCGAGTGGGAAAACAAGCGGCAGTGGCCCATGGATTGCAGCAGACCTCGAAGACGGCGTATGGGCATCTATCGACCAACCCAGCCCATCTATGAACTCTCGCTTTGTCTTTGGTGCGTTGAAAGGAAGCGCGGAAAAGTATTCTCTGCGTGGTGCTGATGCTACCGGTGGAATGATGCAAACGCATTATTCCGGCACGCGACCAGATGGATATGTTGGCCATATGAATCTCACTGGCGCGATAATCCTCGGTATCGGCGGTGATAATAGTAATTGGGGAGTCGGAACGTTCTATGAGGGCGTTATGGTCGCTGGATCCCCGAGTGATGATACCGAGAATTCTGTGCAGGCCAACATAGTTGCTGCGAAGTACTCGACTTAGACAGTTGATAGCAGGTCAATCTATTAAGGGATAATCAGCATGTGCTCGAGTGATGTCACGAATGCGATACTCGCATCAAGCGTGTTCTTATTCTGAAGTATACATGCCGGACATAATAAAGTGCTCAGATGAAGCTTGTCGTGACTCTAGCTGTAAAGGCACCTTATTTTCGTACACGAAAAACATCGTGAGATCTTCAGAAGTAATATGTTCTAATGGGTTGAACCGGCAAACAGGTCTTCATCCCCAGTTTAATTATACAGTCAAGTCCTGCATCATTTATAGGATTGTGTTTTTTATCGTTATAAACCTATCGCTGGGTAGGATCACCCAAACTCCAACTTACAAATTATAACACTGGTGTTGTTTTCAGATGCCATATTACGAAGGGAAATGGAACATCACTGCGGAATAGCAACGACAAGAGCAGTAGAGCACTGAGCGCAGGAAAAGGATTGTGTCCTGCCCCGTGATTGGTTAGTGTCGCAAAAGCTGACGATATCTCATTCGCTCAGCGTGGGATCTATGAGCGAAAATCAACCAATCAGATTCTAGCGCATTGTGCCCCGAGAAATTTTGTAGCGACTCCATACCCGCAACATCGACGATGTGATGCTGGTTGACCGACATTGCAGGCCTTCCACTGGCGCAATCTTTCTCTCACACAACGGACCTCCGAAACTGAACCGTTAACTCTCACAAACATCCATCGTCTTCTCGAGGAGTGATCGTCATGGCCGAATCGTCGAATGCGCCCAGCTCGCCCCCCGCCACTGGTACGCATGCAGGCCTACGATCTCTCGCAGTAATCAACCATTGACGAATTGAACAGGCGACAATGGTTCGAGCTCGCAGGCTCCTGCAGAGGCCACAGTGAAGTGCGCACAGTGCGGTAAAGTCCCCGAGGCAGGAAAAGAATGCAACCGGTGTCACAGCGTGTCATACTGCAACAAGGACTGCCAGAAATCTCATTTCAAAGCGCACAAGAAAGAGTGCGCTTCCCTCGCTCAATCATACATGAGTACACATGCGCCGAAACTGGCCAGCCGAGCGCCGCCGAAGGAGACTAGTAGGAACACGGGGTTCAAAAAGTGGCAGGTATGTAGATTCTGCTCGAGTACGGCAAGCGACGCAGTGACTAATAATTGCCCAGTTCGACACGTAGGAAGTTGGAAGGCAGTGAGTGATGAGGTACTGTCCAAGTTGAATGGGCGCAGGATGGGCGCGAAGCGCATCACCATGATATATCCTGATTCTATTCCGATGGAGTCATAAATACTTGATTGAAGGAAGAGGTCGTCATCTGCTGAGCTACTGGACCGATAAGAGTATGTACCTGTATGCCTGCGATTCACGGCGACAAGACATGAAGGACATTGTTCAGAGAGCATCAATTCGAAACGCTTGTAGTCCACAAGAGGATGTTTACGCGTGCGTGATCTTTGCTCACGTGATTGACGGTCTTGATGAAGCCTGTGATCATGCCGCAGCTTGTCCGAAGTCCAATGTCGTATATGTTAGTCTACTCCCCGTCAAAGCATTTCAAAAAAAAAAACCCCACACATGACGACGTCCAAAATGAAAGCGATTTAGACCCGACTCGACGACCGAGGTCGCCCTGAAAAAACGGTATGTGAGGATTAAAACCGCCAAGAAGACTACAACAATCAGAGACGGTTTAGGTGGCCTTCCGAAAGTTCATCCGCGGGAGCTCCCTAGCTCGAAAATAGACGGCGTCTTGTTCCTTGCTCGTCGCCGACCTGGAAGTTGGAACATTGCCACAATGAGAAAGTGTGTTCCCACTTGCTAGCGTCGCAGATCAGGCGACTTCGCGATTTGCCGGATCCATCCAAATGCCCCGAGATGGGCACTGGACCTTGTACAGTGGCATTGCCGTGACAATTTCCGAGCTCTATTGTCTCGAGTTATTGTGCGTCATGTGTGGTCATAGGACTGCGGATCATTCTTGGGACTCCATTTTCTGTGGTTCTACCCAGGAAAGAAAAGATGGGGATTGCGTCCATTACATTTGCATCTGGAAACGTGGGCAAGGCATACTCTACGCGGTGTGGGGTAGGTCCTTGCCAACCAACATATGCAAATAGCGGCTCGGGAATATGGAACGAGATTGACCGAGAACTCGGGCTTGGTATTATCATGGATGCTGCGTGATTCTGATCTGATATTACACTAGTGCGCGAAGCTTGAAGGATACAAGGACCCTTTGCACTGAATGCAGCCGCAAATGGCATGTGAATAATGTCCAGAGACATCCTTGGGACACGTGGTATTTCATGTTACGACCTTTCCAGTTGTTCACAATGAGAATATTCGTCCATCGGAAGACGTAAAGTGGAACTGGATATATCATGGTGGAGCCAATCTGGGTTTTGAAGGTAAAATGAACATGTATATGGTGAAAAAAAGTCTATGGGGTATATAACAAGAAAGTTCAATCGTATACAAAGAGCTCACAGGCCGCTTTCAATAATCTGATCCATCACAGTAGAGATGATGGCAATTTCCCTTGACCAGAAGCGTAGATGTGGGTGGTAGGAGCCCCGTGTTACCGGTGTCCAGTGAAGGTATTTTGTGGCCTCGCGACATCTCCAGCATTGAGCTCGATCTTGTCACCATATCCCACTTCTGCACTGCTCCTTTCCGTTCCCATTCCATGGAGATTCCCCATCTCGACGTCTTCGTGCGGGACTTCCCTAACATCGTGTATCCTTCCTTGTAGCATGTGCTCGACGCTATCACCACTGCTATTGCTTTCGCTGCGCTTCGCATGCCGATTCCAGTGTACGCTGTTAGGGCTTGGAAGAGGCGATCCTGGGAGAACGCCGAGGTGCTGGGTGTGGTGTTGCAGGCCCTTGGAAGAGGGATTACGGGTCGGAGCTGGTGCGGAAGATGCAGAAGATCGTGCGAGTTTTTTGGCGGCGTATTCGTGCTCTCCGGAGTGGTGGAAACCGGATCCACCGGGGCGGGAGCCATTGTGAGAGAAGTAGGAAGATAGGCCTTGGCCAACGAAACGGAATAGTGGACGCCACTGTGTATGATAGTTAGCAACTCAGTACGCAGCACATTTTCGAAACAAATACTCCGGGGCATAACGTACAGTTGGCATGCAGGCCGCTAGTATGCCGATGCTTCCCTCGACTGTGGAGAGAGATTGAACCGGTACGAAGTTCCCTTGCACACCATGTCAGCATCAACGTTGCTATGTGGAATACCAAAGGCCTGGGGGGAGGAGTGCAAAGAAAAGAACGCAACTTACATGTTGGGTCGACGCCTTTCAATTCGTGCGCTTTGCGGACGCGAATGATCGAAATGATGCACACCGCTCCGCCAACGGCAAACAACGCACAAATGCTAATCTTTGCACGTTGACCTAGGCGAAGACTCCACACCACCGGAATCGGGAGCAAAAGGAGTAGCCAGTCAGTGATAATATGAATCGTGCCAAGTACCGCAATGGCTATGGGATTGTCAGCAGATGTGGATGACTTAGAAACAACTGTAACTGGGATATCGCGTACCTAGACTGAAATCTATACACTTCATGTTCGGTGTGTTCTCATCCCAAGACCATTGGATCGGTATGCTGATATGTGTTAGTTCGTCATATTCGAAATATTGTGCAGAGTAATATTACCAATGGAAAATGTATACGAGAGGCTGCGTGATTCCAAGTGCAATGACAAAAACAGCAAACGCCCATAGTGTTGGTATCCACCCTCGGGTAAGACTGAAGATGCGGTAGTATAGGGCCAAAATCGAGAGTTTGGTGAACATCAGATTGGTGCTGTAAGATGTCGCTTCCGCTAGATTAGCCTACAGAGAGTACCATTAGTGGTTGCTATAGTTTACGGCCCAAAGAAGTTCTTACTGCTACAATCCCGTGTACGTTCGTCACTAGAAGGACATGTCTGCCCACGCCAAATGAAGGAGTTATCATGCAGGATGTCGCATGCGCGATCAGGCAAACCTGGAAGATAGTTAGAGCCGCTCAGCGTGTGCGCGCGCCAAATTCGAACTACATCCATCTTTTCTAAGATGTTGTCTGGCCTGGAAGGCGCACATGAGTATAGCCAGACTTACCATGGCGGCCAAAATAAGCCAGTCGTCTTTGCATAGCTTTGCGCCGATCTTGACGCGTGACACAAATCGTAATGCCACAGAAAGGATGCCAATTATCATAAATCCAGAATGAATTCCATACACGAGAGGTCGTCGATCTTCGTCAATGTGTTCTTGCATATGCGCAATTTGTTCGGGGGTGGGAGGAGGCATGGCCGGCTGTATGCGGACAGGACTGTGATTCGCATAGACAGCAGGCGAATCGCAATGGGAAGTGGGTCTTCTAGACGCCCCTGATTGATGTATGTCGTTTTGATATTTCGCTTTACTTATTAGGACGTTCTCTGTGGCTCTCGGCGCTGGTGTGTTCTCGCTGTTCGACTTTGGAAATTTTTCGACTCCGCTCCGACGTGGGCGTTGTTCTTTTTATTATCTTGCTCTCCTCAGTCGGACACCGAGCATCGGTATATCCTTCAATTTCGCCTTGAGGTGCACTAAATCGAAACGACGTTTATTAGGCTGTTCGCCTATAGGTCGGAAAGTTAGTCGAGGTGGTGCGGTAGCGCGGCAGTGACATCCCAAGTGGAGGGCCTAACACACGCCAAAATCAGAATGAATGGATGAAATGACATCTGCAGCAGTACGCTAAGGGGCTATAACTCTGTTCCTGGTCTAAGCGGATAAATTAACGGGATAAAGGTCCCGAATTATCGTGTCGTCTTTAAGATTTCGCGGGGTCAGATGGGGAGGAATGAGTGTGTTGTGTAAGGCTTACGCTTCTAGGACTCGCTCAAAAACGTCACGGTAGTCGCCATAATGCATGGGGGAATAGAAATAAATTGAGTCGTGATTGCTGTTTCGATCTCACGGTCATTGAAAGTACTTCCTGTCATAGCAAGACGATTGCAACGGAGGCAGACAGTTCACACCCAATATTCTGATTAGCGAAAAAATTGATGTACACTAGAGCCGGTATTTCACGATCATTGATCTTGTTCCTACTTGGGATGATCAGGCATAGAATAGACAATCCATCCATGATCATTGAAAAAGGTCACGTTCAAAACATGCGATGCAGTAAAGATCAACATGATTATTCTAATAGAGTAAAAGAACCGAAAGTGAATCAATTCCGCTCACATTCTAGAAGCCCTATTTCTCTTGCTAATGCAGACTAAAGCTAATTAGCTAAAGATGAACTCCGATCTCAAAGTATAGACGGGGCTCCCTCGCGGAAGATCCATGCACACATGTGCACACATTAAGAGGAAATCCGAATGATGTGCAGCACGACCATAGTGTGCTTGCGCCTCAATGGCTGTTGTTTCATACGGACCCGCAGTTTCATCGCCTACTCCGGTATTAGCATCCATGCAATATCTCCTCGCGACTACATCATGCTTTACCATGGAGGTTCTACTTTGGTATCATCTCACTACTTCACGCAATCCTCTACACACACCTTGCCCCAGATACTTGTCCCTCCTTGCATACCTCATCGAATCCACTATGCTACTATGTAGGGAGAGAGGAGACGACCCACTTGACTACACGATGTGGGGCCGTGAAATCTTCGAGCACAAATTACAACGTTTACTCCACAAGGCACCCGCTGTTCAGTACACGGGGCAAAAAAAGTACCACTATCGTCCTGCCCTTAAACCCTCGATTCGACGAAGGGGGGATCTATTCCAGAACAGTGAACTCCTGTGGGTCGCTGTCACGGGCCGCATATTTTTGTTAAAGGTCCTCTGAACGTAATTGTCCCACCTTGGATTTTGCCGCTTCATTCTGCTAGCGCAAATACCCCGTAAGAACGCTCGAATCGGGCCGCACGGAGAAATCACCTACTGGCAAAATGGGCAAACTCTAATATGTGACACGTTATCCAGCCGGATTCTCTTTGCAGACTTTACGTTGAGAGTTGCTCCATTTTTGTACGTTATTGTAGAAGGTGTACTGTAGATCGGGGTTCGCAGCTCATTGGCGGCTGCCTGCTAGCACTCCCATGCTTCCCTGAAACCTCTAAGCCTCACCCCATCTCGTTCCGCTCGCCCCTATATGACTCTCGGTAGCCTTCCTGATACCCTGGCGTCGCATCATTTCCATTCCATTTCTATCGCATCGCCAATCTTGCACATCCTTATAACTCGTAATTCAATCTTGGTCATTATCCTCAAACCTCAGCCTCTCTCTGTTCCCGTTCCTATGCGATGACCGTCAATTCAGACAAGAATTGAGCCTTTTACTATCCTTCTTCCCCTACGCGGTTGAGGACCTCGGACAACGTTGTCGGATTGTGTGCCTGTGTGCGCCCCGGTCTGATCTCTAGATGATGGTGCCTCTGTACTGGTGTTTAGCCATGTCTTACAGCCGCTTGATAGTCAAGTATGAGCTTACCTTCCCCTCTTTGTAACGATGGGCTATTATCTGTGCGCCTGTAATCGGGATTGCTAGCGCCAGAGTCTAGTTGGGTGTCATAATCCTTTGACCCGGAGTCTTGCGAATTGTTCTTGTTGACAGTAAACTGTTAGTTTGCATGAAGATATAGGCTAGAGCCCAAGGGTGGAGTTTTCCGATCGTTGAGCTCACGAAGCGAATGCCTTGCCACGTTCTCATGCCGATGCTTCAAGGACTCCTGACTCTTTGCGCTTGCTGATGATCCACTCGAGCCTATTCCACTATCACGTTGCAGAGTAATGCGGCGTTTGGTCGGTACTTCTGGCTGTACTTTCTCTGGTTCTCTCGCAAAGCCCCAGCGAAGTGGGAATTTGAAACTGTGCCCAACTAGAATCGCACCGTCTTCCGGTAAATACAAGTTCGGACCTCCTTTGCCCCACGCTTTGGGATGTGACGTCGGTATGAATACCTGTACTCGATCGCTCTGGGGTTTTCCAATGTATTGACTACACGTGCAATCATCAAATAGCTTTTCTGGGACGTACCAATAGATGTCCTCGATTATTCTGCGTGGGGCTCCTTCTCTCCCCCTTTTGTCGCCTTTCCTCTTGATGATGCGTTGGAGATCGGCGCAAGTGACCGCGAGCAGATCAGGCCCCTGGGGGACATTTGACATGCAGAGTTCGCACGGCAATCCTACCCCCCGCATCAATTCGCCAAATCCGACCCCAAAAAGAGTTGCACAGTGAAGCTCTCTTGTAAAATCTACCCAACCTTCGCCCCAAGCATGAATTTCGCCGACTTTCGGCCAGAGAGTACCTTGATGAGTAGCAACATCCATGAAGTCAAATCCTTCTAGCTGACGTCTTGGTGTGCCCTTGATCCTGGCTCCAACACCATCGCGGGTGTGAACATCATCATGATGTGCTGTAGCTTGCTGGAGCAGACGGCAAATTTGGAGCACTCTATCTTTGAAGCAAAAATAGGAAGTCTGGAGCTTCAAAGCCTCTTCAGTCTTATCGCCATCTTTCATGGTGTATTCCTCCGTAGGCACCATTGTCTTCCGCCACAATGGTAGCCTCTGATTCTTTTCGTTGGCCAGTATGCTGAATGACGCCATTCTTCCCTTTTTGTCGTCTGAACCTTCCTGAATATCATTTTCATTCAAGATAAAGAAGTCTTGGAGCAAGGAATCGTCTTGGGAATACTTGATGAAAGCTCTTAGAAGATGAAGCAAGGTAGTAACGCCATCAAGGAGCCAAGCGCGCCTCTCCTCAACATCATATATCAAGAAGAACCTCTCAGATATCATGAGAAGAGTCGATAGGTAATCATCTTCGAAGCTTACGTGCTCTGACTTGTCTTTAATCCCGATCGATAGCGAAGCTCCGACGCTTAGATACTTTCCCGCAGAGATGGACACTTTATCAAATGCGCAAAAACTGTGAGGCTTACGTAGCCCCGACCAGTCAATATCGTAGCTTGCATGCTTGGTTCCTTCACTCTATTAGTAATATGACACCAGTTATAACGGGGTGACGGTAGACTGATTTAAAGACCAACCAGTTCGGGGTAATGAGAGGGTAGTCTACCAGCTAAGCAAGAAACTTCTTTACACCATCCCAAAATGTGACGACTTTTAGCCAATACATCAGGGGTCACAGTATGTTCCGTTTCGTGATAATCGAGCCTGGGGACTCGGATATCCTCATAGGATATATAAGCCCCGGGTTCATTGAAGAACATATGCCATAGGATTGTTGAATCCCGTTTCTCCATCAACGCCAACATCACAGAGAAACCTTTTAGGACTGTACGTCGAGAAAAGTCGACCAGGAAGTTCGCGCTGGTGAGTTCTAGCATGATATCGAGGGAAACCTCAAGGCCACTATCATCCCGATATCGACGAAGAATAGGATATCCTTCAACAATCATTGGGTTTCTGAAGCATTGCAACCAGCAACTTCCCGTCTGATCAGGGTCCATTCTCGAGGACCGTTGGGCAACATCGTCTACAAATTCGTCCGCGATGGAGTTACTGGAATTAATCTCCACTTGAAGAGTGCCATCTAGTAGGGATCCAACTTTGACTTTATGACAGGGATTGCACGAAGCCGCGCGATCCGATGGTGAGGATTGTAAAGCAGATGCGAGCCACGTGAGGACTTCTCCAACTTCTGCGACAGAATATGGTATTCCCAAAGCTAACACCTCAAACTTTCCGTTAGAGTAGTTTGCAGAGATAGTAACATCAGCAGGTGAAATTATCGTTGAATATGGGCTCGTAAAGGTATGAGTGCCATCTAGATGATGATTGAGGGCCAATTCGAGAATGGCGAGAAGAGAGATACCTGGCGATCCCCATGTCTGGGAAATATATTCCAGACATGTGGCAGCCTGTACGTTGTTTCCCTCTCCAGTAATAGTGATTGCTTTCGCTAGGACCTCTGCGACGTTGCATGTGTACTGTTGTTTCGCATGGAACTCAAAAGGATCAAACAGAACAACGTACTGAGCGGCTACCATTGGCGGTTTTCCTCTATGGAAATGCTTCTCAGCATTGATGCCGCGCAGGATGCGATTTCTGACTATCTCTTGGGCGTTGTACGTGCCTGGGCACGCTATGCGACACAAAGTGCCTATCTTCCACGTAAGCCATTCATAGGCTGGGGACATTTTGATGAGTTCTTGATATCTATCCAGGTGGGGAAGCTGGATTGTTTCATCATAGGTTTCGTCTTCTGGGATATTATCAACTCCATGGTCAAACGCGTCCTCGATGTTTGTATCAAGGTTGACGTTGCCCCAGAGTAGTTCCATCTTATCTTCAACGGTCATTTCGTCGTCAGTCGTGGGTCGTTTGTCATCCTGCTCGGCTAAATCATCGTACCGTTGACGGAGATTCTCTGTGATCTGGCTACATTTGGTTAGAGTTGACCAATGTGATTGCGTGCATTGAATAGATAAATTCAATTGGCCGAAAAATAGCACACCTTCGGTAACGATAGATCAGATATGTGAGACTCCGATGTTCCTGTGTGTCACCATCGCTGCTCATTTTCAAAGCGAATGTCTGGAGAAGCTCATCCAGGAACGGCGATACTTTCTCAAAGTTTAATTTGTCGAAATCGGATGGTAAAGATCCTGATAGCTCGTTTCCAAAAGCTGCTACATATTCGAGTAATGTTGGATCTGCTAGACTCGCAGTGTCTGAGTACACTGTCCGAGCATCGAATTGAGTCGAAGCAGCACCTGACGCCGATACGTCACCCGTTACAGATGTAGCTAAAGTGGACGGTAGCCCTAATGCTTTATTGATGGATGAAAACTTGCTTGCACCCGAGCCACCATACCCGGAATCCGTGATATGATAAGTCAGAGGGGATTGGGGGTATCCACCTTCATTGGTAAGACTCTCTGACTGTAAGCCGTGATCCTTAGAGGTAGAAATCTCCGGTTCTGGTCTTCTGATGTCGTCCTCTATGATCCCAGACTTCGAAGAGCTAGGTAAGTTCGAACCGAGTGTGTATTGCTCATACTTGGGGGAGTCTACTTTCAGACCAGTTTCGTCCGCAATCTCGTAGCGCCAAGAGTCTGTTCTGTCTTTTGGAGGAATGCAAGCAGTCACGGTAAAGGGACCGGCCACACCACCGTTTTTAAGTCTCACATGGACACGGTCACCGACTCTCCACTTCGATGGGGCCTGTCGGCGGGTAAGTATGTTGGCTCAAAAGTCGCGGGATCACATGAAGCTTACAAAGCGCCATGGCCCACGAGCAATATCTGCCATTCTGGTATATATTACCGCTTTCTTTTTGTCCGCATCAGCATTCCGTGTGGCGAGAGAAAATCCATTGGCAAGATGCCCATTAGAGGGTGTCACATCTGAGTAACCGGGTCCAAGATGGAAAATGATAGATTTACCTATTGAGTTATCTTGAGCAAACTCGTTCAGCGAGACTGTGAAACATTTTGCGGTTCAGGTTTATATTGCGAAAGAAAGAATTAAATGTGGTAAGTTGGGTACCAATGCAGGAGCCCCTTGTCTATGATTATGCATATAAGCTTACAACCCCACAGTGAACCGGTGAATTACCGCAGACACACCACGTTCCCCAGTTGTCTAAACGTTTCAAGCAATAGTTAGTAACTTAGGAACTTCCCGCTCATGCTTGATTCGCTCAAGAAGGGTATTCAAGTATGTCGTTCTATCGCATCATGACAGTGATATGCTGAAAACCCGATAATTTGTATTTGAGATCAAAATTTCCGCCTGGCTTCGATTGCACGTCTTGCCGAGACTTCGCCATCACGCTTTGTACCATAACCCCACCATGGCAAGGCATTATTTGCCAAGGTTAGTCAGCAAAATGCGACAAGATGCGAGGACCAATCAGCACTCGTTCAGCGGTGATGATCACAAATGCTTCACGTAAGCCCATGCTGCCCGATACTTAATTACGATTGCTTCTGGCTATTGCTTGTGACTGAATCTTCCTTCGTCAATAGCGGTGATCAATTCCAATGCCACCAATGATCCACGTGACTATAGGGAAAGTGAGATCCTCAGGTTGTCTGAAAAAGTAGTACCATGGTGAATAACCCTCATAGAGCGGTTAAAGGTCTGATCGGAAACTGTATGCGAGCGTCTTATCAATTAAACTAGAGTCTAAACGCAAGGAAAGACAGACTGGATGTATCGAGGTTGTCCGGGTCCCATGGGATCACTGCCCCCAATAATTCAGAGTCGCAGACTCCGCGTGGAGTGCAGCTTCCTAAGCACGGGCTTTGTTAGTTCCAATGACAATACGTGAAGCGGTCTCTCAAAGGTGTACTGGTGCGGACAGACCGGACATATGTAGGGAAAAAGATGAGAGGAACCTCGAAGTGAATGGGGATTTGGCCCAGATTAGTATGATCATAGGTTATTCAATGACGCCAGGTTGGAGCATCCCAGATGATTAAAATACGCTTGATTTGTATTCATCTGATGTGTGTTCTCGTTATCCCGTCGACCGAGACTTGTTAGATAATGGCCAATCTAAGTCTTGTAAATGAATTCTAAGTTAGAGTTTGGGTGCTCCTACACACTGCAATGTGTTTACAACGATAAGAGGAACAAAGATAAAAGGCGATAACCACAAACTCCAGGTTTTATTCAAGTGGTCTGTTTGTAAGCGGCAGTAAGGCGGGAAAGACGGTTGCTGAGGATGTCAAAAGTTGTGGAAGAAAATGATGGAACAACTGGGCATCAAATAGCGCAAAACCGGCATTGACCAGCCGCTTCTACAGCGCCATCCAGTTCAGGTAGATAGCTGTGCCCGGCAGGGGATGGATAACTCCACGCTTAGCAAGAACTGTGGTTTTGGAAGTCCTGAACTGATCGGAGCTGAATTGGCCGGTGCTGTTTTGTCGTCAGCCGTCAGCCGTCAGCCGTCATCCAAAAAATGGGCTTCTGCTTATATATTTCACTAGTTTATATCATAGAGTTAGCAATCTCTCAATAGTCCTGAAAACCTATGATAGTTCTCAGCACTGTGTTTGTTCGTTCTCTGAAACTATACTATGACTTGAGCGTATGCAAGAAGACTAATTGAGTTCGACTTAGGGATTCTCGCCATTTGTCAGTATCTAAGGCAGTCGATAGTGCTGATGATGGGCGTTTATCGTGACCATCGCATTCTGATGCGGTCCCAACACTCGCTCATATTACAGTCACATCAAGCCGGTGCTACTCTAGGATAATTTCTTCCATTATGCTTTCCACCATACGTCTGTTAAAGCCAATTAGTTGATTTCCTTCATGATCGTAGAGTTAGGAGAGCAAATTTTTGGAAGCTACTAGCAAGTTCCGATGTTCTTATGCTCCGAAATGTTCGCTTGACGCAACAATCGCAGATAGAATACGTTATCGACACTCGGTATAAATTTATCGGTCACACAACCCTATTTGCGTGTATTCCCTGAGCAGTATGAATATAACGCAATCAACCACGCGACAATAGGCTAAGACATAATGTTGTCACCCCGTGAGTCCTAGGTGCCATCACTGTCTGCCCATGCACAGACTAATGGGCACCCCTTGCAATCTCATTACAATGAATCAAAACACCAGACAGAGACTATGAATTGAAGTGATCTCGAATTTGCAAGAGACAACCAAAACATTCTGCAGCACTTTCACGATGGCGTTGGCTGTTTCCACGTTATTGGTCGCACAAAGATGCAATGAATCAATACTGTGCTTAGTCTGCTGATACTGAGAAGTGGCGTACAAGCTTGCTTGTTTGAAAGCTTATTTGCCCTCAATGTGGGGCGGATTGTGTAGTGACCGATTCTGTTTTCGTAGGTAGCTCCGGAATAAACGAGAATTGCAAAGATAACTCCCAATTGAATTGCTCTGGGAGTCCATGCATGTCGGAAATGAACGAGCTTGACGCTCTAGCCTCATTATTCAACTTGTGCTTGCAAATATAGCTATGTTATGTTAGCCGAGTATCTGTGGTCATGTCACGCCTGCAACGTGGTTTGCTGAATAGCGACGCCACGGAGCCGATATTGGCTGCGGTACTTGGAAATACGGGATCAAAAAAGCGGTGCGCTAGATTTCACAGATCGACTGCATATACAATAAGCACTAGTGAGGTCTTCCCTTCGGTATGCACGGGGCTAGCAAAATGGCACCCCAGTGGCGCATTCCCGTAATCTTATTGATCTTGACGTGACTGCCAGAGCCGTGGTCCAATCACAACAACAACAACAATAAGAATGATCGGTTTTCTTCTGCTTCTAGGGATGATAGGTTATTTGATACGACACGAACGCCGCAGGGTTCAATAACACAAAACGGCTTCCTAGTTTAACGGGTAGCCCGCCACTGCTGGACTGATGGAGACCAAGCAAAAATGGGGTGATTAATTCTGATGGTGATGGCCTCAAATCAAGTTTGCTGGCGATCAAATCTTAATGGAACGACCTGGTGGACGTTCCGAGGAGACACATCTTACGTTCTTGTGGCTGGGAGGCACGGACGCGCAGTTTCGACATGGATGTTAGCATGTAGTGACATATGATATGAGCCACAAAAGAGTCAAATAGGAATCCAGCTTGTTTGCCTCTTTTTTTCTCAGCATCAGCATCAGCATTACGGGATGAGGTCCATCATCCGCCCTATGCTCCTATTAGCGGGACTTGAGAAACAATCACATGGATTTGATTCACTCCAATGTAAGTGGCTGGTCTCGAGGGACGCAAACTCAAGAAAGGACTTGTGGTCTGCTCGTTTCCTGAAGTCTAGACGTTCTCTGTTCGTAGGATGGGATTGTATGTGACGTGCGTTGCGTGGCTGCTTATCAACTGCAGTCCAAAGGCCTCTGAAGGAACATCGCTAAGTACCTAAGCGAACAGCAGAAGCTCATCGCTCTCTTTCTCACTCAAGGTCTGAAATTGTTCTCGCGCTGGTTCTTCAAGCCACCTAAGCGTCACAGCACACGCAGTGTGCTAACCCCGCAAATGAAATTGCGGTGGATGTTTTCTTTGGATCTCGTAGTCTGATGTGAAGTCTGAAAGTGAGCTTATTGGGGATGCTTGATCATCTCGGCAATTGTGGTAAGACTTAAAATCCTTCTAATCTCACTCTGGATCCTTCCAATCTCAGCGTAGACCCTTAAAATCTCAACGTGGACCCTTGTGTGAGCATGGACGGCTTATGTTGCACCTGACGGTAGCGAATTGGAGTTGCGAGCCGTGTGGGAAGGGGTGTAGGCCGCTGAACCCTGGAATTCTGTGATATCTTCCAATCCCGGACCCCCGAGAAAGCTTGGACTACCCGTGCACACCCGAAGGTACCGAAATGCAGCTACCAGCCGCGAGGGACGGTACTTAGCCGTAGAACTTTGGAATATTATCGAAGCCTAGACCCCCTAGTAATCCTAGGCGGCTCGTGTCATCCTTGATGACAGCGACTCAGCACCGCCAATGACATTGCGGCATGTCCCGCGTGAAGGAACACCAAAGACGAATGCAAGCCACGGGTAACAAAACTTTTGGTGGTCTTTTCCCTGATTAGTTACGATATCGTCAAAACGGCTCAGCGGCAGATTTCGAGTCGCGGAAAACGGCTCGCCTTAGCCAAACTATAAATATCGGTCTTGATTGGGTGTTCACGCCACCAGAAGCCAGGGATACTATCTCTAATCTAGTTGTGGCTGTATCTCAGTCACTCGATGATGTGAGAATATCGAGAGCAATAGTCACAGTGGATATGTGTTGGTGGCAGAATACCAGTCATTGGGATACTGATTGGGGGCAGAAAACTGACCGTAAGGGTACATGTTGGTGGCAGAAAGCTCATTGTACGAGGGGATATGTGCTCGTATTGAGTGGTGGTAAGCATTTCACTAATCAGTCTCTCGGCCTTCCCACAAACTGAATGGGGTTAAGGAAAAAACGTTCTTCTCTCTGTGGCTGATCCTTAGGCTACATCCGGTCCAACACTACTACAGGAATACCAATGGCGATAACTCAAGGATCGATCCGTGGCGAGGTGAAAACCTTATACATTACAAAACTGATAAGTTTTAAAGGGTTTCTCTAAAGAGGACTACTCACCATGGTATTGAAACATCTTGAAGACAGGTATCAGCTATATAAATAAGTCGAGCAACCCAACTTTTCAGAGCTCATCAAGCTACTCGAAAGGTCGTTTATCATCATCATGCGTCTTCTCTCAGTTGTTGCCCTTAGCCTGCACTTCCGTGGTCTGCTCTCTCAGGCCTTGGATGCAAATGGCGTATCACTTGACGAAAAGGTCCTGGCTATTGAGAGGCTCTTGATGACTCCCGGAACCATCGACTTCCCTGTCACGCCCTGCGATTTCAACCTCAACTCGGCTCCAATCAATATCGCTGGTGATCAAACTGCTGCCCAGTGGGTCAGAACGGTCTTTCACGACTTCATCACGGCTGATGTGAAGGCCGGTACTGGGTAAGAACACCAATGTGAATTTCTGCATGTGTTCTAACAAAAGTAGTGGACTGGATGCATCGATCGGTTTCGAAGCCGACCGAGATGAGAATCTCGGCATCACATTCAAGGGGAACTCCTTCATCAACGAAACAATCATTGGCGTACGATCTCCACGACATATAGTCGACAGTGGAATCAATAGTCAACAGCGGGCTGACATTTACAGTTCAATCTGTTTTCCGAGGTTTACATCTCCACCGCCGATTTCATCGCATTGGTACGTCAATTCCACTAGCTATGCTTTCGAAATTCCCCGGGCTGACGAATTCAGGGCCTTGCTGCGTCTCTGAATGCTTGTGACTCCGGAACCCCAATTGTGAGGCTCCGTGCAGGCCGTATCGACGCTACTCGTGAAGGCCCACTAGGCGTGCCAAAGCCTGAAGATAGCTTGACATCCGCGACCGATGCTTTTGCCAAAGCTGGTTTCAGCAACACGGAAATGATTCAGGCAGTGTAAGCATTCTAGCATTTCGATTGTGTGAAGCTCGAAGACATGCTGATATTTGTCAGCGCCTGTGGCCACTCAATCGGCTCCGTCCACAAGATTGATTTCCCTCAAATAGGTAGGTTGCAAAGCCATGGTCTTGCCCGGGAATCAGCTAACAGACGACCTAGTGGGAAACGACCCAACTCTCGAGTGAGGAGTCCGTGTTGCATCTCGATCGACGTGTCGCTAACCATGATATAGTGTGTCACCCCCTGGCACCGGTGCTGATACCTTCGACAGCACGCCATTCAAGTTCGACAACACTCAAGTGCAAGAGTACCTCACCGGAACCGGAAAAAGAGGCGGTCCTCTTGTGACCACCCAGAACGTCACCATGCAATCTGATCTGCGCATTTTCAAGTCCGACAATAACGCTACTGTCAAAGCTATGTCCTCGGCTGCATCGTTCAGGAATACTTGCTTGACCATCTTCGCGAAAATGCTTGATACCGTACCTGCGGGCACAGCACTATCCAATCCCGTTAGTCCCCGACCTTGGATTACCAAAGAAACTCATCTGGACCTATCGCCATCTGGAGTTGTTCAGTATTCGGGCAACATCTCTACACAATCCAAAGCAGCGGGGACCGCTCCCGGAACAGCTTCTTATGTGTACCTCACAAGCAGTGGTAGCACTGCCAAGTCCGGACAAAGTCAAGCTGGACGTAAGTCACCTTTTCCACAATGCATACCGTAGTTGCTGATTGCAGAAGGCTTACAAAACACCAATGTCAACGGTGTGATCTCGGAACCATATGGAAAGATCACTGACTACTCTTTCAATGATACAATTCCCGCCGGGGTTACATCGATCAAGATTCAGAACTCTTACACTGAGAACATCAACATGAATATTTTCGTTGTTCCTTCTCAATCCTTCATCAAGCAACCGACGAACCCCGACGGTAGCGGCGGCATCGCTAGCTATCTCGTCCGCGCAGCTGTACAGTCCCCACAGTTTCCACTCTCGGCAGTACCAAGCTAACAAGTTTTCGCAGTTACTCACTTCCCTCTCCACCTCGAGTGCAACCCTCACCGGAACCTTCTATTTCCCATCTGTTCAGCCGAACTCCGTCGCTCCAAAGTGGACCCGCACCACTTTCACTTTGACGAAAGAGAAGACGTTGGGGAGCTACACAATTTTCAAGGGACAGGTGACAGAGCCCGGCGTCCACGCCACTGGAACTGGTCTACACCACGTTGACGTGCAATTTAGTAGCATGAGAAGCGCCAAAGTGCTCGCTAGCTCCTTCACTCCTCGAAGCTTCTTCGGAAAGTGCGCAGATCTCACCAAGTGTTAGTAGGCCTAATGTTGTGAATGAGGGCCGACATGACGGCTTGATACACAGATAAGGTTAGGACACTGTCATTATGGGAGAGGCATACGCCATCTTAATATATGCTTTTTCAAGTCCGTTCCATATCAGCTCAGTGACTGTTCAATTGATTCCTTGCATGCTTTTCTTTGACAACTAGCCGGGTTGCTTCTTTTCGTGCCATGCTTTACCGAATCTCGTTGATGGCGCGGCCTTGACTTATCACAAGTTGCCAGGTTTTGAACATCAATGTCGTTCTGAGACTCATTTCTTGCGATAATCTGTATCGCATAAGTCGCAGCGCTGCAGCAGCACGGTTGCGAGTCTTGTGTATAGCCGAATTCGCCGTTCATGCGGTGCCATTGGCACGCTCTCATTGGTCGAAGCGATCTGCCATGCGGAATAAGCGGGGCGGCTTCTATGAGAACGGCGACTTGTACAGCTTCTTAAATCCCGGACAGATAGTGTGATTCACGATTCCCCATGGATATATAAAAATCGAATGATCAAAATAGCCACCAATAGCCCCAGATCAACCATCGCCGATTCAGCATCCAGACCGCCCCCAGATGTCCTGCCAAAGCGAGCCACGAAGCCAAGGACAAATCTGTTCAGAGGGTAAAAATTGCCGGCCTTCGCAACTTGACGGATGAGAGGCTAACAATTTACAGAAAATCAAGAAATCACTGCGAAGTACGGAATAAGGCAATACCTGACCGCGAAACTACGTGTTGACACGCTCGTCGAACTGCAACTCTTAATCCTCACATTGAGCATCGGCATCCAAGATGCAATTGCATTCCCAGATTTTCACTGCTTTGCCTCAAACCAAACTGGAAACACGGTCGTTCTGGCTCTGGGTGCAGCAGGCATCGGTGGTGATCAATTCAGCCTGGCCAATGTTGGCATCAGCCTCAGCGCTTTCGTCACGGGGTCCTTCATCACCGGTCAAATTGCCAACTCAATCGGCCCATTCCGAAGGGACTGGCTTTTATTCGCACATATGGCGCAGACCCTTCTGGCTTTTGGCGCGGCAGCTATCCAGTGCGTGAAAGGTGAAGAGGGCGTAGGATCTGGCCCTTGGGCAATGGGGTCCATTGCCCTGCTCGCGTTTTCGTCAGGGGCCCAAGTGGCGTCTATGCGCCCGATGAAAATCCAGGAAATTACTACCGCCATGGCCACGGCGGCTTGGGTGGATTTCGTCATCGATCCGAACCTATTAGCGGCGTGTAATCGCTCCAGGGACCGGAGGGGGTTGTTTCTGCTCACACTGATAGGGGGAAGTTTTGTGGGAGCCTACATGTATAAATATGTTGGGCCGGGGGAGACCTTGCTCTTTTCGGCGGCTGTCAAGCTTCTGGTCACATTTACGTTTCTAATAAATCGGGGGTCTCGCCAGTGACGTGGCGACTACGTACTGTCTAGAAACCTCAGACAACGAAGGGTATTCCAATGATGGGGCCCCGTTCAAACTTGATAGATTCTCGAATAATTTTCTTATACCAAAAGATGCATTCTAATTCGGATCATTTGGTACTAGCGTGGGGATGAGGTAATGACTATTGCCGAGATCTGGCACGGAACAGTACAAGAATCGCAATGAAATGGCTCAGGACTCAGTAATCGAACCTCTGCGTGCTTTTTTTCTCATATTCCATGCTGTGTTTTATCCCTTGCGTTGAGTATAGTTTCTGTATTGAAACGCAGCATAGTCCCTTGATGTACAATTCGATTGCAATGGCCTGAATCCCAATAATGAGGAGGCTTCATTGTTCACTCATGACATAATAATCTATTACATTTTCCAACCTCTTGGGCCTGCCCACCTTCCCTTGATCATGGCTGCGAAATACACCCAAGGAAAGAAATCCTTCTTCATGCGGTAAAATACTCGATTGGGCTTCGCCTGATCTACAAATCTGCCAAAGGTTTCGTGTGGTTCCCCTCCATAAACGAACTCAGCAAGCATAACCTTGCCGTGCTCCGTTATCAAAGGACACGATGTATATCCATTATACGTACTGGTGATCTCTCTACCCTGAATGCAACTGAGCACATTAGACACTATCACCGGCGCCTGAATAGTTATTGCAGCAGCTGTTTTGGATGTTGGTAGACCGGCCGCATCGCCGCAAGACCAAATATTCGAGAATCTTTTGTGTTGTAGGGTGTCAGGATACACCTCGACGAATCCAGCGTCATCAGCTAAGGTGCTATTCTTGACGAAGTCGTGAGGTCCCATCTTGGGTACGGCATGGAGTAGATCAAAGTGGCGTCTGACTACTGTACCCCCATCGGCCATAGCCAGCAGCGCTGTGTTACCTTCGATAGCCACCAGATCGTGTTGGAAAAGCGACTGTACGCCTCTTTTCTGGCGCAACTCCTCCAACACCTTGCTGTACTTGGGCACGCCGAACATCACGGACATGCCCGTAGCGTAAACGATTTGGATTGGCGATGAGGAAGGGCTATCTGGATTGTAAAGCCCGCTTCGTTTCCATCGATCTAAAGCCATCCACATAATCTTCTGCGGCGCTCCGGCGCATTTGACAGTTCCTGTAGGATGGGTGAATATCGCATTTCCTTTTTTGAATCCAGCAATGAGGTGAGCGGTCTTATCGCAAGTATCATAACTGTATATAGAGGAGACTGGGGCTTGTGGATCTACGAGTGCGTCGTGCAGTCCCGGGATACTGTCAAAATCCACTTTAATTCCAGGGCACACAATGAGGTGTTCGTAGCCAATTTCGCCTCTATCAGAAAGCGCGATTGTGTTCATCTCCGGCTTGAACTCACGAACGCTGTCACTGTAAAGGCGGACTCTGGAATCAACCATGTCCGGCAAGCTTCTCCTCATGTCCGTCTTGTTCTTGAGACCGCCGCCAACTAGGGTCCAGCCGGGTTGGTAATGGTGCCATGCAGCCGGATCCACGAGAGCGATGTCTTTCGGGAAAAATCTCCCAGTACGAAGCAATTGGTTGGTGACTGTGATCCCCGCCGACCCCCCGCCGACAATGACGATTTTGTGATTCCGGGAGATCGTACTAACAGGCGGTGCGCTAGTGGCGGAAGCTAGCGACCGTGAGGCGAAACAAATCGGGGTGCGAGCAACTGATCTTTTGATCAGAGCAGTGAACTTCGGGTGACGGAGAGAGCGAGGAGATACTTGATGATGTATGGGCATTGCGGTCGGTAGCTTGTGCGTTGTTGATGCGTTGTTGTGGAAGGAAGCGGTAATTCCCAAAGGTTGGGTTAATGCAAACAATCAAAAGCTGACAAGCCCGAGGGCGCCATATATCATATATGAGCGAAAAGTCGTACGAGAGGTCAGCTATAGTAAATTGCTCAAAGTACTGTGTGGGGTGTTGCGGGAATTGTCACTGCGATTTCGAAACAATCCCAGTCCGGTTTAAAGCCCGAAGACCCCGGGCGGCGATTCTAAGGTCGGCGATCAAACACACATGGCGGTATGAATGGAAGCTTGCACAGATAAACCGAACGGTTTACTCGGCTCCTTTACTTAAATGAAATTCATTTTACTCATTATGCTAAGACTCACGATTCCTAAACCAATTCCAGCCAAACTTGATATCCGTGCAACTTTCGGGATTGTTCGTTGCGCTGCCCGATCGTTGCATCCAACCCAACATACCATCAGACGACACTACACAGTTGTATCAAAGTCGAAGAAGTTTTCGAATCATACAGCAGTCATGCGACCTCAAAACTGTACCTCGATCCAAAAACCAATCAACCCAGTTGTCCACGATCTCTTCGACGTGGCCACGGGATCATGGCAATACGTAGTAGCAGATCCAACGTCCTCGAGATCCGTCATCATTGATCCCGTATTGAATTTTGATCCAGTCACTGCAAAAATCTGGACAGAATCGGCGGATCGGATACTAGCTTTCGTCGAAGCGAATGGCTACAAGGTCGACATGATCCTAGAGACACATGTGCACGCGGACCACATAACAGCAGCGTCCTATCTCCAGCATGTTCTACAGCAGAAGCAGGGATTGAAGATTCCCATTTGCATAGGGAGTAGGATTAAAGGCATTCAGAAGCGGTTTGGCGAAAAATACAATATACCTCTCGACGAATACAGGAACGCCTTCGACAAGGAATGGGAAGATGATGAGATCTTCAATGTAGGGACATTGAGCGCGCAAGCTATTCACCTGCCGGGTCATACACCTGATCACATGGGCTACAAAATTGGCGGTATGTTTTCCATCAATCCGCAGAATCAGTGCGCGACTAATAGCCGGTTACAGAGGACGTTTTTGTGGGGGACACGGTTTTTCACATGGACATTGGATCAGCGAGGGCTGATTTCCCCGGCGGCTGTGCACAATCCATTTATGATTCGGGTCATAAGCTGTTCGCCTTGCCAGACCATACCAGGATCTGGAGCGGGCACGATTACCCGCCGAAAGAAAGGGATGGGCCAAGAGCATGCTCCACAGTCAAGCAGCAAAAGGAAGGGAACAAACACTTGAGGATTGGTACAAGTAAGGAAAGCTTTGTTCAACAACGCCAGGAACGCGATGAGACGCTGGCCGCACCGAGGTTGATACATCAGTCTTTGCAGATGAATATCCGCGCAGGGCGTCTCCCCGGAGAAACAAACTTGGGGGGAAGAATGCTGGCTATTCCACTCAAATCTGATGTGTATTGGTGAAGGATCCACGGGATAATTTGTGGGCTGCGAAATACCACCTGTACGAGAAGTAGCGATACATGAAGCTAATTGGATATGGATACGAAGATCTGTTAAGTGTGTTTCTAGATTTCCATAATTTCAACTTGATGCAAAAGCCTGATGTTCTTGGCTGTGTAATCACTACCTCTACTTCCGGTTGAACCGATTCTATATATGCAACATATTGCGTACATGACTTTAACAACCCAGAAAATACCTGCGAATAGGTTTTTTCTAAGGATGAAGAGGTAATAATACCTTGAAGTGATTGGATAATTTCCTACTAGATCGCCAACAACTAAGCGTAGCGGAGATTCATCGCATTTCCATGCGGCACAAACACCGGGCATTGTGAACACGACAAATCTACCTTTGAGCTCCTGATTGCCAACAACATTCATTCCGACGGGCTACCTGCACGTTGATGTCTTCCCAGTCTATAACCTATCTTCTTATCTGTAGATGCCATTCTGCCCACAATTACCGCGTTTTTGACCAACAAAGTTGTAAATCTACTTTAGATTCGGACTCAAGAGGGCTTTCGCTTGGTCAAAAACAAACCACGGTCGTGCTGTCATGCTTGCATGTCTTGTATTTATAGTCCACTACTACATAAAAAGGCCCCGAAAATCGTTGTGGCGCGAATCAAAAAAGACTAAGTGATGAAAACAACTCCCCCTTGCACGCGAACTCTGAGTCTGCATTATAATGCCCTATAGCCCTTAATCACGACGCTACACACTGTCCAGATTCTGCGATCTGGAGAGCCATAGATCAACTAAGTAGGTACTTGGTTACAAGTCCTCCGCCGAAAATGGTACATATGGTAACAAAAGAACTGGCCCCCAGCGTTGACAGGCCGCTGATACCATGTCCAGTAGTACAGCCACCGGCCAAACGAGCCCCAAGCACTAAGGTGATTCCGCCAATGAGCGAGGCCAGCGGAGAGATGACATTGTCTGTTGAATATTTGTCCATGCCTTGGGGTAGACGGGGCCCAATCACTGAAGCTGCCCCAAATACTGAGGAGATGAAGATCAGATTTTGAAGTCCAGGGAAAGAACGAGCATCGAAAAGACCCCAAAAAATCCTGCCCGCATCTTCATAGGCAGTACTGACTCCCAATGGTTTTCTAGCGACGAGGACTGAAGCCGCTTGAGCTAGACCGATCAAGACGCCACCAAGCACAGGGTGAAAGAAATGTCTTTTCCTGGGCGCGAGGGTACTCAATGCCAGAATAGCGCCAATGACAACGACCTCGTAGGCGAGCATAGTAGCAGGGACTGCTCTCTTCTTTGATTGCGTCATCTTACACGGTTGATCTGCCCTGGATTCAACGCGACTCGGGCCATAGGATTGACTCCATTTCGCAAAGATGACACCTCCAACTAATCCACCGGTGAGCAGGAACCGACTACCTGGGATGTTGGTGGCAGCTTGGACTAGGACCGTCCCTGGGCACGCGCCAGTGAGTCCCATCCCAAGACCGAGGAGTAAGCCTCCCATAATGTTGCCATCGAAAGCGCCGAACCAATTATAGCTATTACTAGGTTTTGGTGGAATCACAGCGTACTCGGAGTAATTGGCGAAGGCGAAGATTGGGGTGCTGCAAGCCGAGGCGGAGAGGAAAGTGAGTAACATGTGGAAGTCGGTAAATTGAAGCTGATTGAGAATGACGGATGGGTCGGCAACTTCTGAAATGGTGAGTCCCGCCCCGAATAGAGCGCCGGTGAGTCCAGCCGCATAATTTGGGTGCATGACAGAAAGTGGCAAGAAGATTGGTGTTTCAAGAATTGTAGTGGGCGGTGGTGGAGATAGTGGGATGTGTCGGGACGAGTTTCTTGTAATTGGTGTTGAGCTTCATGAGTACATGATGGCCTTATTATAGCTGAGCGACTGACTCAGCGCATAAGGTTGTTCAAAAACCTAAAGAAAAGACAATCAAAAAAGCAGAGGGAGAATTTCCATCGCCGTTGATGCACAACAGTCGGCGACTCGGGGACTTGCAGTGCCTAGAGGTGATGACTAAGGCGATGCACCCGACACCAACTCAAACACCGAGTAGATGCATTCCCTCATAACACAACATTGAACAACAACAATGCCTGCTGTCTCATCGCCGGCTACCGGCAATCGTCCCTCGCCGCTAGCATGCGAAGCCTGTCGACTTCGACACCTCAAATGTGATGGCGTCTCCCCAATCTGCGGTCGATGCGCCGCTCAGTCTGTTACCTGCAATTACACACCATCTCGCCGTGGACGGGGTCGCCGCGCCCATCGACGAGCAACATCACCGCCGCCGCAACCACCATTACCACCGCTCGCAACACCTGCAACACCCGTATCTCTTTCCAATGGCCCCATCCACCCTCAGTCTGGCTCAATCCCAGCTTCTTCCAGCTTGAATACTTCCACGCCGTGGTCTCTCCGTGCCGCCGACCGTGATCGCTTGGTCGGTCTATTCTACAGTCACTTCTTTCGCGCGCACCCCTTTCTGGTGCCAAAAACTTCCTATGTCGCTCAGCAGTATCCAAGATACCTTGATCTGGCTGTTTGTTTCGTCGGTCTCCATTACGCGAAGCCGGCCTTGGCCGACGCTGCCTCTCTTCGAGAAGCCGTCTCCGTCGCAATGTCTGAGATTGATGAGCATACGGTGCACCGCGTCCAGGCCCTTATTTTGTATGCCATTGTCCTTCACTCATCGCAGCGAGCAGAGGAAGCCGCTTCATGTATTGCCCGTGCGTCAACCATTGCGACGGGCCTGGGGATGAACACGCCCGAGTTTGCGCTCGCAAACGCAAACGCAAACGTGAACGGGTCGCCCGTGATTGCTGAAAGTCTTCGGAGAACCTGGTGGGAGCTACACACGGTGGATGTATACACTGCTGCTATCAATCGACGCCCTGTTTACGAAACATTATCCGTGGTGAGCTACCCGTTGTTACCATGCAACCAAAAACTGTACGAGGCGGGGCAGTGCTACGACCATGATCCTCCAACACTTCGTGTTTTCGAAGATCGAGTCTTCTCGCGGAATCCTTACCAGAACTTCTCGTCCATGTGTTATCGTATCGAGGCAATTCGCGTAGTTGGTCGTGTGCTGGCAGTAGCAGCCGACGACGATGCAGATCCCGACAACGTTCAAGCGCTAGACAACGCACTTGCAAGCTGGGAGCATCATCTACCTCCTGTCTACGCCGACGTTGTTGGGCTTTCGGGCGAAGTTGACCTAATGCTTTTTGAAGCGCGCTGCTTCATCTCGTGCGCCAGCATCTTCCTTCACTTCCCACGCAGCGACCTCCCCGCGACTGTTCCCTCAACAAGTCACATCGCCTGTGCAAAAGGCTACACACCTCTGACGCCAACATCACGACACCACACAATCAAAGCCATTGCCGCCTCCAAAGATTTATCCAACCTTGCCACCATACCGTGGCCACTGGAGCGGCACTCACCGTTCTTCATTTGCTGCTTAGTGCTGGGATGTGTTGTTCAACTCGCAGCCTGCTCGACCCATGTTCATCAGTGCGGTCTCGATTGCTTGCAGCAACATAGGGATAGAGTCGTGCTGATGCTCGGTGCCCTCCAGCGCCTAGGAGAGATATGGCCGCTTGCGCACAATGCTGTACAGTGTCTGAAGTCCGCGGCAGAGACTATCTTTGCCTCATGTTCAGGTCAGGATGATGCAGCCTTGGAAGCCTTTTCATTTCAGTATCCCACCACAGGTGATGGTATTGGTTTGGCTAACTCACAGTGGTTTGACCTGCTATTTGCAGCGCCGGTGCAGGACAATCTCGCTGACATGTAGTTTTATCGCCGTACTGATGCGTATGTAATATATGTTGGTCACAGAACTGTGCGAGAAATACAGTATGGTAACACGTCGGTGAAATTGTCTACTAACCTGTCGACCAAGGAATGCTAATGACAATACATATGTATCACGTCCCCAGAGTGGTGACCTTGGAACATTAACCGAGCGAATCAAGTTGCGCCCCACCCGATTGCGGAGTAGCATAGCATGTTATGGTTCATAGTATGTACTGCGGCTTTCATCTTCCACCATTTGCCGATTCAGAAACATTCTACAATGATATTAGGTGAAACTTCATCTCTTGCTGAAGCTTGATGAACACTAGTTCGAGGCTCGGCGTTTTTGTGGGGCAGATATCAGCGATACTTAAACTACACTCGCGGACTTTTCACACACTGCACATTTCATGATCAAAACATATTTGTTGATCAGAACAATACGCAAAATGTTGTTCCTTCTTCTCTCGCTCGCAAGCCTCTCTACAACCTTATATGGTGCCCCTTCGCTCCCAAACCTGATCCCACGACCGACGTCTTTTCCTCAGGGCGTCAACATAACATGCCCCCCAACTCCCAAACCCATGCCCAAAGTCGCAGCCTTGCCCTCGGTGAAGACAATGCCCGACCCCTTCCTCTACCTTGATATGAAGACTAGGGTACAGAGCACTGAGGAATGGATACAGTGCCGACAACCCGAGATCCTCAAGCTTCTTCAAGAGTACCAGTACGGCTACTATCCCGATAGATTAGCCGAGACCGTTACAGCGTCACGAAGCGGTTCAAAATTAGACATCACAGTAGCCACAGGTGGGAAATCAGCTGCGATAACGGCAACAGTGAAGCTTCCCTCTGGATCCGGGCCTTTTCCTGTTATTATTGCGATTGGAGGGATTGATGAGAATATCTATCTGAAAGCCGGCATCGCGGTTGTGACATTTGATTACTCGAGAGTCGCAGCAGATAGTAACAGCAAAACCGGGAGTTTTTGGATGTTATACAATGGTAGAGATATTGGTAAGTGATATGCCACTCATCCCCATCAAAAGCTCACAGGGAATCCACCAAAGGTGTTTTGACGGCGTGGGCTTGGGGTTTTCACCGCGTTCTTGATGGAATCGAGCTCAAGGTCCCGGAAATTGATGCGAAGCTCTCTGGGGTCACTGGTTGCTCTCGTTTGGGAAAAGCCGCATTGGCAGCCGGTCTGTTCGACCAACGCATCGCAGTGACCATGCCGATGTGTTCTGGTGTCCAAGGCGCCGGACCTTATCGTTATAGCCTCAGCGGACAAGGAGAGACTTTGGAGAACTCAGTATGTAAAGCTTATACTTGATTCAATCCCCGATTATGCTGACTCTCTCTTTCTTCTTCGTCTAGAAATCGGGAGCAGGCTGGTGGACCTCTTCCGGTATCTCCCAATTCGTTGGAAAATCATCGCAGCTACCCTATGACGCCCACACTATTGTTGCGGCCATCGCCCACAGGGCAGTGATACTCGAACAGGGTGCTTCGGATCCTTTCACTGATTCAAAGGGTACTGCTACTGTTACTTTCCCGTCTGCTAAATTAGTATACGGCTGGTTAGGGGTAGGGTCGCAGCTTGGTATGGCTATTCCCAAGGGTGGGCACTGTGATATGAATGGTTACGCGGATGTGTTACCGTTCGTGCAGAAGGTATTGCAAGGCAAAGAGACCACACGCAATTACGATGATCTAGGAAGTTGGAAGGCTATGCCCGAAGCCTACCCTTGGGCTGGCCAGATCCCAACTTAGTTATCTGACAATACGGTGGGAGATCCTGGCAACTTCCGAATACGTCTCATTTCTACAGACGCGCTCTAATTCGTATTATCAGACGACTTCATTGGCAGCTATTATGTTCCTGAACTAGGAAAATACACCCCTGTCACTGAATTACCAATTTATCCATAAACCGCATATGCAAGATGCACCGCAGCTGATCTAAACGGGATCTTTCTTCGCTTACCGGAAAAACTTCCATCGCGGACGTGGCTTCTGCTTCTCCGTTGATCTGTTTTGATTATGCCCGTGCCTTAAACAGCAGCGATGTGGTCGAGACACGGGGCTGAGTACGCGCGCAGCTGGTCCCCGAGATTGCCGTCACCGTCAACTGACTTACCCTTGCAGTGACATGTAACTTGCCCATGTCACCATTCCCTATGTCCTATTTATGTATGGGTCTACGCCCCGCAGCTCACTCCAGCTTTTCTTTCCCCGTCGCAGACAATCCCACTCACTTTTCAACATTTCTTTTGGATAAATTCGAGTCCTAGCATTACATACCCAGTGCATCGTTGGATCATGTTACCAACCATTCTTGTACCCACTTTCATGCTGGGGATCGTGTCCGCCGGGCTAATCCATCGAGACAACGCCTCCAATGGCACTATCTACTTCTTCGACAAAGGCGGCTCCAAGAAGTTAGTAAGTAACTCGGGAGTATCAAGTCGGTTCTCACACAGTTCTAACCTGAACTCACTATTCTAGTCTGGGCCCCCTGTTTACTTGTGGCGGACCTCTCTCAGAAAAATCAACCCCGATGGCTCCGACATCACAAATGTTCAGGAATACGGCCCACCAGTCCAGACACCCAACGAACCGCTCGGAGCGAGATCGTTCAGCTATGATCCAGTTGGAAAACAGTTTTACTTCGCGAGCAGCAGGAACGTCTTTCGCATCGAATTCGACGGCACGAGTCTCACAAACCTCGTAACAGACACCGAATACCTTCAAAGCGTAGTAGTTCACAAGCAGAAAGTCTGGTACAGCACGTTCCACTCGGGGCTCATCAAACGAATGAATCTAGACGGCAGTGACGTAGAGACGTTCCTGAATGTGTCGCAAGGCCTGAACCCAATTCAGTGGGCATCGAGCAGCGCCAGAGGTATCGCCATTGACGACACCAACAATTTCATCTACTGGTCTAGCGATGGCGGCGCCGACTTCGCTCTTCCGCACCGGGGCTCCATCCGCCGCGCTCCCCTACAAGCCAATACGACAGCCATAGAGGTCTTGGCCCAGGACATCATTTACCCCCTCCAGATGCGTCTGTCTCAGAGCGGTGCGCTGTATTGGGGTGAGGCAAACTACACCACAGCCGCGCTGCGACGCGCGTACTTCGCACCTGATCGTGTCCTCCAGCCAGGTGATACTGAGATAGAGACTCTGTTCAGTAACAAAACGCACCCTGAATTGCTCCCATATCCGCTCACAGGCTTTGCGCTCAGTAGCAACGAAGAGAAGGCTTGGATCACAGCTGTGGATGATTTTACTAATAGTGGTCGCATTATTGAAGCGTCGCTATCTGGGGGCGAGTCAAGAATAGTTATTAATAATACTACACTTACTGGGTTGCCAATAGGCGTAGAGTACATTATCTAGTATACATAAGAAAAGAAATATCTAAACTGCTCTTTCTCTAATGCTTTTTTAATACTTTCTATAGTATTATAATAAATATATCAAGAAGCTTCTTTTATCTAATTAAATAATAAATAACTTTTCTTTTTTACTATTTAGCTTTATATAGCCTTTAAATTAAGCTATTTTAAAAAATTTTAAGTTAAAGTTAAAGTAATTTTATATATAGTAATAAGTTTATAATAAAAATAATACTAAAATAATAGTAGTAGGTAAAAAGTTCTAAGTTTAAGTAAAAAAGCGTAAAACTTAGTAAAAATTAAAATAGCTAACTTTTACTTTTATACTACTACTACTTATACTATAGTTATTAATAAACTTTAAAAACAGTCTTTACTTGTTTATGTACCTTTTTCTTTTTCTTTAATACTTTAATTACGCGTTGCTTTATTATTTTTTCTTTTTAACTATTAAATTTATCTTTAATAACTAAGCTTTATAAACTTTATAGAATTTAAATGTGCACTGTGCACGCTAAAAAATAAAAAGCTATAAAATATTTACTATAAGTAAGTTTTATAAATTATAAATAATATTAAATTTTAATGCAACTTTATAGAAAGGTGCAGCAAAATTTAGCAAATAAATTACTATATTTTATATATCTATTAAGTTGTATTCTATAGTAAAATACAAGTAAAAAAAGCAGTATATTAATATTAGCGTAGTAGCTATTAAGCAAGGCTACGTACTTAAAGTAATAAAACTATAATTTAAAGTAATAACTACTAGCACTTACTCTATAGTATCTATTTATACTTACTATAAAGTAATTAAATATAATTTTTATATATTTACTTACGCACTATATAATAATATGCAAAACCTACTAGTAGAGCATACTATAGTTATAGCTGCAGACTTTTTTAAATAGTAAATATAAAAAACTAACTTTTAAAACTTAATAGCAAATTATTTTAGCTGTAGCATTATTTTATAAATAAGTAAAAATAAAAAATAAAGTTATATTTTTTAAGCTAGAGGCTACGCCTATACTATATTTACTTATATACAAAAACGCGTTTATGTGCGTAAAGGCTATAGCTAGTAATAAAGTATATAAATACATTTATTAACAGCTAAAGCACATTTAGAAGCATTGCTAAAAAAAGTATAAATAAAAAAACTTTAAGTAGCAAGGTTAACAGGCTTAAGAGTTACTAGCTAGGTATTTAACTATATAAGTAAAGAGTATAGCATGTTAGAAGTTTTAGAGCACTAGTTAGTTAGGTAGGTTATTTACTATTTACTAGCTTTAGCCTAACACGCACGCAGTAGATTAAAAAGATATAAATATCTAGTGCGTAATTAGAGCATTATTAAGCTAAGCTACTACTAATATAAAAGTAAAAAAAAAAAAAAGAGCAGAACTGTATTTAGGTAGACTAAAACTAATACATATTCTATGTATAGCTAGATTATATAAAGTAGGCAAAGCATTTATAGAGTTTTAACTGCAGCTAGTTGTTAACTATAATATAAAAGCCTAGCCTTAAAAAAAAAGTACTAAATTAAGTATGCTAGGCGCTGTAAATAGTTATATACTAGGCATAGCAGTTATTGCAGCTTAGCGTAGTAAGTATGCTAGCTATAACTTATATTAACTAGCGTAAAATAGACAGTACTACTAATAAGAAGCTGTTCTATATATAATAGACAGAGAGCATAATAATTAAGTATAGCAAGTAGTAGTTAGAAATTATATAATATATATAGCAAACCTACGCGCTGCTAAAGATTAGTATAAAAAAAAAAAAGAAGTAGATAAAGTAAAGAAGAAAAAGCTAAAGTATAAACTTACTGCTCTACAGGCCTAATAGCTATAAAAAATTAAAAATATAGTAGAACATAATAGCAGTAAGAGTAAAAATTAGTTTAATAAAACTAATAGCAACAACAAGCTAGATAAAAAGAGAAAGGAGAAGTTAAAAATGTTAGTAGTAGGTAGAAAGTTCTAGGTCTAAGTAGGAAAGCGTGGGACTTAGCGAAAATTAAAATAGCTAATTTTTACCTTTATACTACTACTACTTATGCTACAATTATTAATAAACTTTAAAAACTTTATAGTACTTTCTCTAAAGTAATGCGCATTTTTTATATATATTTTTATTATGTGCATTCTTAAAATGCGTGCGCTATTATAGTATAAAAATAAAAAAAAATAGTTATAAAAACAGTAACAAATCTTAAAAAAACACAGGATTTTAAGAAAATTAAAAAAAAAAACTGTTTTTATAAGAAGTAGTAACAAGTAGTAACAGAATAGCAGTAACAGGTAATAAAGGTAAGATATGCAGATACAGTTAGGAAATTTTAAGGAATAAATTTTTTATTTTAAGGGCGCGTTAGATAAAAAAAAAGCATATAAATTAAATGCACTATTTTAATTCTCTGTTAGAGCTAGAGTTATAGAGTTATTTGCGTTAAAAGGTAGCATAGTAGTAAAGTAAAGTCCTAATTTAGTAAGGCGCAACAAAAACGCGCTAAGCTAGAAAGAATTATACTCCTAAATACACTAAGCTTAAAAAAATTATACTTCTAAATACGCTAAGTAAAGCTAAAGTTTCTACTAAACGCCTAATAGATAAATTACATTTAACAACAATATAAGCTTTCTATATTTTATACTATGCAAAAAGGACAGCTAAAAAAGTATTTTACAGCAGAAGCGCAGGTAGAGGCAAAGCAAAGACACAATTACAAAAAATATCTGCGTAGAAAAAACTTTCTAATTCTAGATGCTTGCTTTAGCAGCTTTATTTACTATAAGCCTACGCCTGCAAGCACTTAGGGTTAGGGTTAGGGTTAGGGTTAGGGTTAGGGTTAGGGTTAGGGTTAGGGTTAGGGTTAGGGTTAGGGTTAGGGTTAGGGTTAGGGTTAGGGTTAGGGTTAGGGTTAGGGTTAGGGTTAGGGT